GCGTCTATGCCAATCAAGTCAGCCAGACAGCTGGGAGGCTCTAAGGACGACCACCCACCACGAGGAGGACAAAAGTGAAAGCAACAAAATCTCCATCATCAAGTGTCATTCTGGGCAGAAGTTGACGCATACATAGGCACACTGGGCCAAACTAGATAGTGGCTAGGGAATGTTAAAGAAATTAAATTCGAAATGGTCATCCATTCATGTCTCAAGGTCTTTAAAGAGATATTCAACTTTGAACAACGAGAACAGTCTGTTTTTTACATTTTTTTACATGTACCTTTATACTAACAACTAAACAATATGGTCTTTAACGGTCGATTTCTCAATGTCATGTTGGCAAGGTGTTAAGATCTTCGGAAGACTGTTAAATGTTTTCAGCCAGATAAACCTAACATAATATTGAGAAATAAACATAGTAAATTAACCTTCGACAAAAGTTTAAATCATATTGAGAAATCGGTTCCCCGAAAAAGTTTCTGAAATATACCTTTTTAAAGATTTATGCATTTGACTTTTCATTATTGTATTGTTTTTATTTTTGAGTAATCTTAGCTTTAATAAAGCCTTAACTAAGAAAACATTTTTTCAACCATGTACCTCTTCCTAGTATATTATTTTAATAATACTACTAAAATGTGAAGGAAAAATTCTAAAATACTTATGGCAATATTTTTGTAATACCATTTTTTGACTTACTAGCAGTGTAACATCTCACCCACCACATACTTTATAACTAATCAATATTAATTAGTTAATGTAAACTAGAACCCCTTTTTTTACTGTATATACCGCCTGTATTGAGGCATTTGTCCATGTGCATCTCTATCCATCTCAATGTGTCCCTCTCGTTCGCCCCCTCGCACAACTATACCCATGAATATTTATGCCCTGTGGCGAGGACCTCCTCTCCGGAATGTTTCGGATGTTGTTTTGGGTCCAGAGAGGGTCATGGGGTTGTACTAACCCAGCCGTTGTTCTTCCTCAAGAGCACACACTGTCTGGCAAATCAAGTGTGCAACTTTGAATTGGGGCGGCTGCTGTTGCTGCTGCCGGGCTTAAATGTTGTTTAAGCAAAACTTTGATTCCATCATACTTGGCCAAAGTATTTAGATTCACCCGTTACCCCGCCCTTTTGCATATTGCATCTTTGCGAACTTGGGACCAAAATCCAATTTCCGATGGCAGGTAACATGGAAGCTCCGGGCTTTGGCTACAATCCCCAGACTCTGTGCCAGCCTCAATTAATAACCCAAAACCATGGATCGATTCGTTTCTGATTTATGCTGGCCATTGGCCACGGTATCGTTATGATTTCAGCTTAATGCATCGCTTGGAAAAACAGATGGCCGTCGAATGCCATTAAGCATTATCCGCTACCCATACACACGCACTCAATTTAATGATTGATTTGAGTTTAATTGCTTTCAATTGTTTTGCGGAATGCAAATGCAAATTTTACAAACGGTTGACTGCCCAGGGAGATCAATAAGCAATAAGCAAACAGTTTTTGCCCCACACAATCACGTGTGAACCGAGGCGATTTGTTAAAGTACCGGCCATTCCAGCCATTTCAACCATTCCAGGCCCCAGGCAAATATTATGCAACACTTTTGGCCCAAATTCGCATACCCTTAACATATTCGCATGTATCTCCGCCCATTGACAACTCATCAAAAGCGACGGGCAAGGTCATGATGTGCCAAATACCCAGAGGGCTCTCAAGAAAATGGCGAAAAATAAAACCCAAAAGTACATAAGAACATTTCGGCAGAGAGAAAAATAAAAATTCTTTAAAGTTGGCTAAGAATCTTTAAAAAAACTAAAACTTAAACGAATGATTACGTGTTATCAAGAACGATTTCTTCTTAAAAAGTGTTTGTTAAATGGAAATTATTACAAAATACTTCGACTGACAAAAGCTTTTTTCGCTTCAAAACATGTTTTTAAGTAGTTTTCCTGGAACTATAGTTTTTTTCCATGTGTATCTCAATGTGTGGGCCACTTTTCCCCAGGGCTCCCAAGTTTGTCACACTTTCAGCCGGTCGCTCAGATATTTGCCGTCTTCGTCTGTATCTCAACTTTTCGCTTTTCTTGTTTATTGATTTTTCCTACCCGACCCACCCAAGTTTGTTGTACTTTTCTCACATTATTTATTGTTCCACTTCGGTTTCCTAGGGCTTTAACTACTTTGGAATCTTTGCTTGATGAGTATTTATAATTGCACTTAGCGTATTACAAGAGTCGAGGAAAAAGAGGGAAAAAAGGAAGTGAAAGGGGCAGGTTTCAATACTAATTAAGTTGGCCAGTTTCAGTGGGCCGCCTTTTTCCGACTATGGCCACGGCCAATTCAAAGTGAAGTGGCCGTTGGAAGTTGTTGGCCGGGTTCTCTCCCATCTTCTCTCCCTTTTCCTCTCAACCCGAGTGGCACTTGTCGTTGGTGGTAATGACGTCATTGCGGGCAGTTGGTGGCTGGATTGCGGGTCAACTCCCCAGCAGGTGTGTCTCCAGTTCTTAGAGGTGTGTGTATGTGACAGATAGGCTGTTGCACATGTCACAGCAATTAAATTGGGGCCAGAAATAAACAGGTCCCCGATAAGTAGGCAAAAGTAGCTACTATCAAACCCACATCTAGATATTTCCATTTTCTGACAGTCGGGTCACGACCTCAAATTATAATTATACATATCACAAAAAGCTATCAGAGATAATGGAATTCCACTGTGCATACCACAGGTCGTATGCGCGATTTTATTGAAATTACTGATCGGAAAAAGGGGAAAACTCACATGCCAATCAAATGCCAAACAAGCGAATTGAACTCGATTATCGGCATAGTTTAGGCCTCATCGTCAATTTTCATATTTCCATCGGCTTTCAAATATTTGTGAGCATATGAACAAATAATAAACGGAATAAAAAGGGAAATTTTCGGGGAGTGGTGGTTGGTGGCAGTCCAGTTTCGGTATAAACACACATTGGCCCGATGACCTCTAATCGGCCCCATTGTAATTTGTTATATAAATAAGCATAATATGCTGTGTATCATTACCATCAGCCTCGTCGCTTTTTGGGCTGGCTGTATGCCAAATTTATATCATCTTTCAGCATAATATTCACCATGGTATATGGGTACACACAGTATAGTGGGTATAGTATGTGGGCCATTTATATGCACATATTTTTTTGGCACATTCTTGTGCCCTCCACGTTGTGTGCATAAAATATTTCTGTGGTAATTTTTCATGCTCACATTAGCGGCGTCTGTCAACCGAAAAGTGAGGGAAAAACTGTGAGGGAAAATGTTGCAACATCAAGAAGCTGCAAGGCATCCATTTTCCCCCCTCCCTCCCTCACTCACTTACCAGCCCGCATAAATAAATAAAAACCCAGCTCAAAGGACCCCAGAGAGAGAGAACGACGGTCCTATCGTTTAATCGGTATTGATTTTGTATTGTTGTGCCACCGCCAATATTTTATTGTGCGTTCTGCTCTGGGCCACGTCTTCCTTCGAGTTTTCAGCCATTGCGCTTTTGGCAAACGCCAGGCGGTAATTGAAAGCCATACAAATTGCCGACCGGCTGGCAGGCAATTATAAAATTGTTTGGCCAAAGTTGATTGTGGCGTAAAATAGCCACGGTTACGACTACGGATGGCTCTAACCCGCACACACTGGCCAAGAAATAGAAATGGAAAAGGTCTGGCCATGAATGGCCGTTAACAACGGATCAATTGCTTATTTATTGCGCAACAGTTTCAACAGGACTTTGCTTTTAATGCAAGAGTCAAGTTTCAGGCACTGAGAGAAACTATTACTAAAATGTCTAACTCTTTAGGGCATAAATAAACTAAAAAATTTGATTTCTTTCAAAAAAAATTAGCAAGATGTTGGGGTTTTTGGGTAGACAAATTCGTTTTCTCAATGGGATGTTAGTTTTAAGAACAAATAATCTTTAGAATAGTCTGTTATCACATGATTCAGTGAAAAACTCCGTCTAGAGAAACTAATATTGTTAAGATATCACATTTTTGTACAACAAAATTTGTTGATTTCGATGTTTAAGATTCGGTTAAAGAATTTCTTTTCCAAAAAACCTTCTAAAAACCGGAGCGGTTTTTCTGTCTGTTTCTTTTTTTTATTGTAAGGGATTCATTTAATGCCCAGACAGACAGACAGGATAGAACCGAACAGAATCGAATGGTTCGAAAAGCCAACATTTTTGCCTTTCCGTTGGAGGCATGTGCCGGAGCTCCAATAAAGGCAATCCATAATTCATTTGGTTAAATGCATTCGAAGCGGGCTCATTGCAGATGCATCTATCCGTGCATTCTGGCCTGCATCTCACAATTGCGGACGTTAAATTGCATTAAAATTGTCATTCGATAGAGCAGTTATCGAGTGTTGGGCTTCACAAATGTTTGCCGTGTGTGTCGTATCTGGATTTGTCCACTCGACTCGTTCACTGGCATTAAAACCGAATTCGTGTTCAATACTTGACAAGGGAATTATTGTTTCCTTGGAGATGATTTATTTTTTCTTTTGTGTATTGATTCGGAGAGCTTTCAAACCAAAATTATGATGTTTTCAATACGCATTGAATATGCAAAACATAAACAAATTTAAGGCAGGCACCAAACAGAATTATATTAAATTGAGTTTATCTTCTCGAAAAATGTAAAATAACAAAAAAATCAATATAAAAATTAAGCTTTTCGTTTGCTCCCTGCCATTCTCTTTGACTTTTGGCTTTGGTTTTATTTCTTTTGTTGAATTTTTTGCTCTCGTCGAGCGTCGACAAATAAATCTGCGGTTCTCCTCCAATAAAAATAGACACATTCGCAGTTTCAATTGCAACTAGACGGCGGCTGCAATTCCACATTTTTTTCTCGTTTTTTTTCGGTGCCCCCCAAAAAGTCTGAGGCACACACGAGAAAGGCAAACGCGAAAAAAGAGGCCGCCGCATTTCAATCGAAAAGTTTTAATTGAGTTTTTGCAGCCAATCGAATAATCAAATCAAAACTCATTACAATAAAAGCGAAAAGGCGGGCGCGAGAAAGAAATTAGTGCAATTCAATTAAGGCAATAAGGCCAATTAAGTTATTAAATCGAATTAACGACAAACCAAAATAAAAAGGTGCAAAATGTTTGGCTGCATTTATCAGCTTTGGGACTGGTGAGTAGCATAAATCTCGTAGATCGCTCTCGATGCGGTACCCTCGAACCATTCCCCATTTTCCACACCATTTTCCAGTTTCCCCCACCTTCCGATTTCCCATTTCCGCGCAGAGAAAATGAGGCCGGCAAGGTCAGCCGTGTGTTTGTGGCCGGAGCGGCGACTGCAGTTAATCAATTACGGTCAATTACGCGCTGAGCCAGTCGCATTTTCCACGGCCTCCGTGTCTTCCGCAGTTTGCATATTTTCCCGAAGACCCTCGACTAGGAATTAACCCCTTGTTAACACCCGTGACATATATGAAATGCTTATCGGCCCTTGAGGAATTTCCATTAAGCTGTCTTCACTTGTGGATGTCGTGAAAGGCACTTGGAACTTCCTAATTTTAAAGGTTTTTTGTTGAAACAAAGTATAGATTTTATTAACTCTCACTACTCATAGTTACTTAATAAAATAAAACTTTGCCATTATGAACAACATATTATATTAATTCTCTGCTTTTTTTGTGGATATTATTAAATAAGTAAATTCAAATATAATACAGCACCCCAGCACTTTCTTAAACCGAAAATTGCTTAAAAGCTGCCCTACTTAGGGCTACTTCTAAATGCAAAAGTAAATTTTAAAAATAATTTATAAAACCTATTGGAAATTGAATACTGTAAAGATCTTTTATAGCCACGAAATCCCTAAAGAATTCTTTGGTTAAAATCAATAAATATATTTAAAGAGAGTATGGGTATCTTTAAGGTTTTGAATTCTTATATTTTCTGCAGCTTAGGGTTAACTGCCCAGTCCCCGCGAATTAAGGCCGTGTGACCTCCACTGATTAAATCACAGTTCCGTTTGCCAGTTGAACTTCCACTGATCGGCTTTCCGCTTTTCCCCTCCTTTTCAATTGCAGGTTGGAGGCGCCGCCCCTCTTCACCGCCGGCACCATGGACGCCAAGAAGCTGCAGCAGCTGCAGGAGGCAGCGATCCTGGCGCAGCAGCAGAAGAAGCTGCCGCTGGCCTACCAGACGAATCTCGTGGACTACCGAACGGCGGCCTACAGCCAGGCGTTGTACCAGCAATCCCCCACGGCCACCAGTTCCAGCGGAGGAGGACCCCTCTCCCCGATCGAGATGCAGCCGCAGTCCAAGCACCACAACCTGATGAAGCACGGTGGCCATGGAGGAGGCACGTCCAGTAGTTCCCACAGCTCCCCCTACCATCAGTCCTACTCGAGCAGTGGAGGAACTGCAGCGGGGGAGCAGCTCTATCAGTCGCCCACGGAGCGAACCTATCTGGCGGCGGCGGGAAGATTGCAGGCCAGCAATGCCATGGCCGGACATCATCCCATCTCTGCCCTCCAGTCGCAGTACCAGCAACTGCAGGCCGCCAAGATGCAGGCCCAAATGGCCACCCAAAGTGAGGCCGCCCAGCAGCAACAGCGGACATTCGCCATGCGACAGGCCATGAACCCGCCCACGAATCACTACCACATGAGTCAGTCGCCCAGCATGGCCTCCAATATGACCACTCTCACCCAGCAGCAGCAGCAGCAACAGCAGCAGCAGCAGAGGGCTCCTCCCTCCTCGCTTAACTTGCAAAATCAATACCAACCTGCTCAGGGTCCTCTCAAGTTGCAACAACAGCAGCAGCAGCAGCAGCAACAGCAGCAGCAACAGCAACAGCAGCAGCCTGCTATGCCCAAGCACTACCAGGAGCAATTGTACGCCCAGCAGCAACAGTTGCAGCAGCAATTGCAGCAGCAGCAGCAGTTACAACAGCAGCAGCAACAGTTGCAACAACAGCAACATCGTCACAAAAACGACCTGCAAACCCCGGGTAGTGAACACGGCACAGTCTATATCCAACAGAATCATCCAGGTCATGTGGTCAACCAGGCCTGCCAGACCCAGATATCGGCGGTCAAGCCCAAGGCCACGCCCAGTTCGGAGGAGTCCTCTTCCAACTCGGCCAAGAGTCCCACCCATGCCCCATTGGATCGGAAGAAGAGTGCCGGTTCCATACAGGCCCTGAAGTCACCGATTACCAAGAGACCACCCTCCACACCGGTTACCCTGTCAGGATGGCTACACAAACAGGGTTCCGATGGTCTAAAGGTGTGGCGGAAACGTTGGTTCGTCCTGGCCGAGTACTGCCTGTACTACTACAAGGGACCCGAGGAGGAGAAGCTGCTGGGATCGGTCCTATTACCTTCATATCGCGTATCCGCCTGTTTGCCCGAGGACAAGATATACAGGAAATTCGCCTTCAAGTGTGAGCATCAGAATATGAGAACCTACTGGCTGGCTGCTGATAATTCCGAGGCCATGATGCAGTGGGTCAGGGCCTTGGCGGCGGCAAGTTTGATGCAGGCACCCAGCAGCGGGGAATCGGAGCCAAGTGTGAACTCCTCGCTGAATCACAGTGGGGAGAACTCAGACTCCGGCATTCATACACTGCAATCGCATCCGGGAAAGGGTAACCAGCAGCCCACACCCTCGTCGGAGAATACGGGCAGCAGTGGAGGAGGAAGTGGAACTGGACAACCCCTCTATGCAAATGCACCACCCAAACCGAGGCGGATTAATGATGGAGGATACTCCTCACCTTCACCGGAGCACAACGAACAGCAGCAACATCATCCGCAGCAGCAGCAACATCCTAGTCGCCGCCTCATGTCGCCCACGCAGCAAATCTACCAGCAGCAGCAACACCAACGATCTCAACAGCAACAGCAACAGCAGCAGCAACCGCAACAACATCATGCCATCTATGACACTCGAACAGGTCATGTGTCCACCGCCTTGCAGTTGCAACAGGCGCAGCAGCAATACTCATTGGATCATCTGGAGGCGCAGTTCCAGCAGCAACAGCTGGACATGGAGGAGCAGATTGCTAGGTTGCAGCAACAGAGGGCTGCGGAGGAGATCTACGGCGAAAGGGAAATGTACATGGCCAAGTTGATGCAGCAGAGGCAGGGTCCAAATGGAGCCTATCCCACCCAGCAGCAGTTGTTGCAGGCGGAGCGGAGGACTCCCGATGCCTATGGACGCTCCAAGCAGCAGCGACTCTTTGCCGCCGCCGCCGCTGCAGCGGATTACGAGGACATCTACAACATGTCGCAGCTGGCGGGAGCCGGAGGCGCAGGAGGCGTGGCTATGTCCGCCCAGGAGGCACTTCTTCAGGAGGCCGCCAGCTACCGCCGACCCCTCAGTCCGCCCAGCTACGATGGAAGTAAGCACGTGCCAGCGATGCCGCAGCGGTACACGCCCAATCATATGGAGGTAAGTGATGGGAGAAATCCTGGGAATATACAGCTGGGCAACTTGCAAATAACTAGATATTGTTGGGAATCCTTTGTTAAAACGGGTTTATATTTAACATTTTATACGGCTCTATCTGTCAAACCATTTTCCATAACAATTTTTATATGAGCAAATCCCTTGTACATTATAAAAATTGGTTTTATTATATTATTCATATCTAAGGAAAATATTTAAAAGAACTATAACCCTTTAATACTTTTTTTACAAAAACTGTACTGACTAATTTACTACTGAGGGCAAAAACTACGGTGAATGTGTTTTGTAAAATGAAAATTCTTTATTTATTCTTTTAAATCAATTTATCCCATTTAAAGAAATCCCCTTCCGATAAAATTCACTTATGTCAAAATATTTTCCAATCTTCGAAACATACCAAATAGTCCCTTTCCGTTATAACCATGAATGCCTTCTTCGCATAACGCTCAAATAATATTCTTTCTTAAAAGTTAGGCCTACTTATTTTTACAAAGCAGGTTCATTTAAAATATGATGGGTAACCTATAAAACTTAAATAGTTTTCTGGAAACTAAACTAATTTACCAAGCATTATTTTAAAAGAACATATCTGATTTTATAGGTTTTTATCAGAAAAAAAAGTGGTTAAAAATTTCCATCACTGAAGATTTAATGGTAGTCGTAGTAAAGCCAGAGTGAGTGCAGTTCTCAAAGGCAGTCAAAATGGCAAACCACTGCCCCGGGCAGCAACGAACTGCGATTCCGATTGCAATTGCGATTGCTGATGACCTGCCACTTGGCATGGCATCCTTGGCTTTATGGGTGCTTCGCGATGGAAACTGGGGGCTGGGAAATGGAAACTGGGAGCTGGGAACTCAGGGTACTCTGGGTACTTGAAGCTCGGGGGCGTGGCACCGGCAAAGGTCAGCCCACCAAATCATCTGCGATGCCACTTGATGTTGTCTGATTGCTGCGAATGCTCACAAAAACCCGGGGGGAAAAGTGAGTAGGGCCCTGAGATGATGATGGCGTTTTATTTCCGCACCTCTTTCCCTGACCTAGTTGGAAAGTTTTGCTGCCTGAGACTTGCACCTCTGCACGTATCAGCTTTTCACTTTTATTTGCCCTTGCCTGGAAACCTAGTGCTCCTGTTCCTGCTCCCGCTGAGATAACTCCTTCCTCGAGCTCCGGTGACTCCATGAAGCCACGCTCACAAAAGCTGCTGCTGTTTGCTGCTTCTGCCGAAAGTGCCCACATTGATGGACGGCAACGGAATGGGATAGGTGCTCCTCCAGAGTCTTTCTCGGAAACTTTCGGTTTCAAGCAGCTGCTGTCTCGAGTCCGCAGCTCACAATTTAATTGGACTTTAGTGTGTCAGTGGGTTGCTGAATTGCAGACATTTCGGCGAAGGAAGAAGCTCCGCCTCGAGCTCCTCCTCCTCCTCCTCCTTCTTAGCCACCAGTGCAGCAATTTCCTTCGAATGCAACTTTATGCTCCTTCCGCCCTTTTGGGCAGTGGGTGGCTATGGGGTGATGGTGGTGCTGTGTTTAGTGGGTCAGGTCAGGCCCAGCAAGTTAGCCGGGAAATGAGTCGCGTGCATGATTTATGGCCACGGTTCCTGGGCAAGAGACCAGCTGTGCCGCCTGCCAAGTGTCGAACAAGTTACGGGCCACGCCAATCTGCCACACTCAACTTCTTACAACTTTCAAAGTGATTCACAAAATACCTAAAATGTTGCCCTTTAGTATGGAAACGGTTAGACTTTCAGTATCCTACATTTGCGTACCAACAAAGATTTTTAATAACTTTCATTCATATTAGAAGTGATATTTGATGTTGTTATTCAAAGGCTTTCAGTTCAAACCTAATTTATGTACTTATATATAGGCCTAAAATGTATCTTTCTAAATATTATTTGTTTAAAAATAAAAAGGAATTCAAGGAACTTAATCAATGTGGTAAAAATGTGTAATTCAGTCAAAAGGATTTTTCATATTTTTTGGAGGGAAATACTTATTTGTTTTTATAACTATTTTTTGGCTTCCAGCTTAAATATATTTAATTTTTCCTTTTTTAATAATTATTAACTTCAGACAACCGGTATCAAATAATAAAAAAATAAAAGGAACGGTATCAAAAAATTTTAAATTATTTAGTTCAGTTAATAACATAGGATTGTTTTATGATTTTCTAGAAAATTAACCAGGCTTTTGTAGGGCTTGTAATTATCCAATTAAAACCCTTTTTAATGCCTTTTTTTTAAATAAATCAATGTTTATGGCGTCGTATAAGACTCGACTTGTTTTGAATGCATTCTAAGTTTTCCGAGATTTTTACGAGTGCTGCTCTAGTTAAAAATGCAAAAGCCCAATTACCTCTATTACAGCCATTACCATTGCATAACCCTTTCTAACTTTATGGCTTTCCCCTTCTTTTTTGCAACCATTTTTTAGGCCAGTGCCGCTGATCAACTAATCAATACCATGGACTTGCGTGCCCGCTCGGCGGCGGCCATAGTGCGTCCCCATTCCGCTGACTTCCTGGAGTACGAGGCGCGTGCCGAGGCAGCTGCAGCCGCTGCCGCCGCGGCGGTGGCCCAGAGTCAGCAGGAGAGTGGCCGGGCTCCCAGGCCCAAGTCCAGTTTGGACATCAATCGCACTCCGGATAGCTTCTACTACTCGGAGGCCAGCTATGCGGAGAAGATGCGGAAGAGTGCCCTGTACCTCCAGAGTGGTGGAGCTGGGCAGGCTCAGCCCCAGCAGGCGGGCAGCTATCGCACCGCAGCTGGTGACTTCAATTCCGGAGTGAACACCATTGGCTATGAGAATCCCTACGAGAGGGCCTACAAGCGACAGGAGCTCCTGGCCGAAGCACAGGCTCAGGGAGGAGCAGCCAGCAGCATGCCGCGGATGAGTCGATCCGCCAGCCAAGGACGGTCGGTGGCCTCCCAGCTGCAATCTCCCCAGCAGCAGGAGGATCTGCCTCCGCTGAATGTGCATCCGGGTTCCATCTTTCCACCCTCGATGTCCACGCAGGAGATCATCAGCAAGAACGAGCAGTTCCTGCGCTCCGCCAGTGCCCGGCTGCCCAAGAGAGCTGGTGGCATGGATGATGATTATTCGGCTGGGAACTCAACGACCACTTCGCCCACCGGCGGAGCAGGTGCCTCCAACTCGCCGCAGCATCAGGATGGTGAAAGGAAGCGGGAGGAGTCCATGAAGCGTCTGCTGGAGTGGAAACAACGCATGCTGCAGTCACCCTTGACCCGCAAGGGCATCCAGCAGGGCGGCAGCAACATGTCCGCCATGTCCAAGCTGGGCAGTAATCCCAACATCCTGCTGGCCTCCACGGCGGTGGCCAGTGGAGCACGCTATGGCCCCCAGGCGGGCAAAACGGGTCTGGTGGTGGGCAATGCGAATGGCAGTGCCCAGGTGGCCGGGAATCAACTGCAGCCACCTTCAACCTCCGGAATCCAGCGATCCCGATCCGAGAGCCAGGCCAACATAGGACCCGGCGGAGTGGTGTACAACAGCTACTCCTCGGACGATGAGGGTGAGTCTTGATCAGCGATGACATCCCATAAGTATTCCCCATTCTGCTTGGCTTCAACTCTGTCCCTATACGTCTCTTTCTCTATCTGTAACTGTCTCTACTACGTATCTATGGCTACGTTTATGCGGTGGTAAATTAACAACATACAGATAATGATTTCGATATAATACGAATATTTTAAGGCAATGCCCAAAACTAAGTGACATTGAGTTAATTATCATGAACTTGAATTGAAGTAAAGATGTTTATAATACCGTATCAAAAAATTACCCTCTTTTCTTAATTAAAATATCTGTTGATATGTATAAAAATTGAATTTAAAATCCTTATAAAAATTCTACCTATTGAAAACAATATTGGATCTCAAGACAATTATTTGTTATCTTATGTCCATCCCGTATAAAAGAACATTTTAAATTCTTACACAAATTGTATTGAAAAGAACATTTATTTAATGCAACAAAATCTTATATCACTTTTATTTGCATTTTATTTGCAATGAAAATTATGATACTACAAATATTGTATTATATTGACTTGGTAAATTTGTTTGTATTAATGGCATTTGTTTCACAAGTGCCATATTTCAGAATTTAATGATGTATTTTAATGTCTTGATAAAGTTGCTTGTATTAATGATGTTTGCTCACCAAATATAATTAAATTTAATGCGTGCGCATAAACGTAGCAAGTATCTCTATCTGCATCAGTATCGTATCGTATCCGTAGCTGTATCTCTATATATGTATCTGTATCTGTAGCTGTAGCTAACCGTGATGCTCTGTTCTGCGCTCCTTATTTTACTTTTATTTTTATTTTTATTTTTACCTTTAGTTGCTCTTGGCTTTGCTTTCAGTTAGTTGCATGTTATGTGGCGGGCCTTGAGCTGCCTGCTTTTGCTTTACTTTGTAGTCAGAACAAGATGCTTACCAGTAATTACAAACTGCGTTGACCTTTCGCTTGAGGATGTTAGAAATCTATAAATAAAGGACCGCAGCTGCCCCTGACAGGCCCATTTTGCTATGACATAATTCTGAAAACCCTCTGACCATTAACTATTTATAAGCCTTAACCATTTCAATGCTAATTTATCATGTCCACCAGACACCAGACTAAACAATTAAAAGCCTCATGTAGTTAATATTTGTGTGCTCTACACTTTTGTGTGGCCTTGTTTTATGTTTTAATAAATATGGTTAATTTGAATGTACACAACAGAAAGCAATTTATGTCGCAAATCGAAACCTTCCTGCCGTGCGCACACAATGCAAATATATCTATGCTGCAGAGGCAAATTGAAAAGTATCGAGTAATTAATTTAGAAGAGCTGCCAAAAAGTAGGCAACGCATAAAACCAAATTCTGGCCAGTAGCAAAAGTGTTTGGTCAATACTAAAATCGAAAAACACCAACACACACACTGAACATTTTTGTTTGCCTTTATTTGATTGCAAAAAGGAGGCTTAAACGAAATACCAATATTTCTGTAGTCCATAAATCTCTACCTCCTCTCTCTCCTTATTTTTGGAAATCTCTATCTTTCATGGGTTTAGTAAACATTTTTGGCGTATTTAGTTTCGTTTCGGATTTGTTTCATTCCATACCATACATATATATTCGTTTTCCCATCATGACAACCGGGTGCTTGGTATTTCCACTACTAAATGCCGCTGTAAACTTCGCACTAAAACCCAAAAACAAACAAATAAACCAAAAACCAAATAAAACTCAAACTCAATCTGGGCTCATAGCGCAATCGACCACCCATTTGATTGATTTTAATTACACATACCAAAAACCAGCAAGATATACAAATATGTTTTATATTTCTTCTTTTTCCATACATATATAAAATAAAATTCGTTGTGTATACGTTGAATTTGGTAATTCTTAAAAACAAAAAATCCACAAAAAAAAACCGAAAAAAAACAATACCTCAATTTGTAAATGCTGTAAATGTAAAACAATGAACGAAAACTCGCAAAAACATTAACAAAACGCACGAATCGCAGCTGGGACTGTGGATGATAGCATGTATAGTGCGACGGCAGGAAGGTCATCGATAAAGACAGAAACCGAAACAGAAACAGAAACAATATTATCAACAACAACAACAGCAACAACAGCGGCGTTAGCAATAACAAGTGTTAGCAGTAGCAGAAATCTAGAGAGTCCCAAAACAACAGAAACATCATCATCATCAACTGCATCACTCAAAACACCTGGCAATGCAAAATTCCAACTAAAGCCCATTTTGAAAGTGCATGAGGCTGGTAAAACCCGCATTATTCAGGTGCAACCCAAACAGCTGGAAGAGAGGCCAAAACTCAGATTGCAATTGCCCAAGGAGGAGAAGGAGAAGCAGGAGGATGTGGATGGTGATGGGGATACGGAGGATGCAGAGCCTGTGCCCATTCTGCCAAAGAAAACAGCCCCCAAGTCGCCGCAGAATGCCAATTATGTGCCTGTGTACAACAATAAGCTGGTCAGCAACTACGAGAACATGGACTTTGCCAAGGCCCCAATCCCCGAGAGCAAAGCCCCCGACAGCCAGGCAGCGATTACGGATCCCGAAGAGACGCCCATGCTGATGCAACTCAAGTTGTTCAAGGAGCAGCAGGAGCAGAGGCAAGAGCAACAACTGGAAACGGAGGAGGACCTGACACCCACGGCGGAAAGTAAATCCATGCCGGGGGAGGCGATGGCAGAGGATTCATATGAGGAAAGTAGGGATGGACAGGAGGAATCGGAGGAACAGAGGTTAGAGGACGAAGAAGATGAGAGCACGGCCTGCGAGGAGTACACAGATGATGATATAGACGAGGCCCTGGCCCAGGATGATGAGGATGAAGCTGTCTTCGAGGAGGCCGATTCCCAGGAACTCAGGGAGGAGCGGGAAATGCAGCAGATATACGTGAACGAACCCATTACACCCACCGACCAGCAGTTCGACGAGAGTCACTATCTGCCCATGACGCCCAAGAAGGTGGAACTGGGTCAGCCAGGGGTCTTGACCCTCGTCTGCACCCATGAGTCCTACGCAGAGGAAGAGGAGAATCACTATGTAGAGATGACCAAGGGCATCCAGGACGAGGATTGTAGGAGCAACTATGAGATCATGTGCCTGGCCAGCACCAGTTCGAGTGCCTTTAAAGAGACTAATAAAACGGAGCCTGTCTATATGGAACTGGCAGGGGTTAAGGCTCCTCCAGCTCCTCCCAGCAACGAGGAAGCCCACTGCTCTTCGGGTCGTTCCACCCTGAAAAAGGGTAAGAAATCCGGGTCCGAGACCCTGAAGAAGAAGACCAAGAAGAGGCAGGGCAAGGACATGCCGGACATCCTGAAGCCGACCAAAAGCGCTCTGGCCAGCGATAGTTCGGATGCGGATGACGAAAGCAGTCGGCAGCAGCTGGAGGCCAAGAAACTGCGCTCCAGATCTCGATTCAGTTTGTCGGATACCTTCAGACCAGCCTCTTACTATCTGGGTGCCTCAACCCCTATGAACAACTACGCCGAGAGTTCGGATAGTGAGATATTACCACCACCGCCCATACCAGATTCACCACCACCCATGGAGGAACTGAAAACGGAGGAGATCTTCTCTTCGGAACACTATGATACGGTGAAGCGAAAGGATAGTAACACTAAGGTCAACTTGTCATATGAACAACTTCCCAAGATGCATGCCAGCAATACCTCCCTGAACTTACCAAAAGCTGTGCCCAGTCCTACCCTGAAAAGTAGTCGTCTTTCCCTACCTGATCACTTTACCAAAGTGCGGATGACTCCACAGAGATTGCTTGTGCCCCAGCAGCAACATCACGCCAGAACCTTATCGGATTCCAATTATAGTGGTCAATTAACAGATAATAGTAGTTCCCGCACTTCTTCGGATCTGGATCTATATCGCAGGAGGGGTACTAGTAATAATTCCCTGCCTCTGAGCAGTGAAAACGAATCTGTGGAGTTCCGACAGAGATCGGATTCTGAGCTAGATCGTCAGCGTTCGAGGAGACCCTTGTCCCAGGAATCCATCAGCGAGATTGAATCCCTCAGCGAGCAGTTCGAAGAGACCCTGAGTAGTCATGAGCTGGACACCTACTTGAGTCACTTGCACTTGTCTACTGGCCAAACCACGCCCACCAGTCACCTGCTAAATGATGCCAACGCCGCCGCAGGAGCTGATATACTAACCAATCTTATAAAGCCTCCTAAGACTTTCCGAAATACCGAGGATGAGGAACAGCATTTCTATGGCAACATACACTTTCTCTCCTCCACCGACTCCATTCAGCAATTGGGCGGCGAGGGTGGAGCTACTGCAGCTGCTCTAAGGATAATCCATAGTCGGAACAACAGCAATATATCCACCCAATCCGCTCCTTACTACTACTCGGAGTTGCCGGCACCTCCACCTTTGAATAATCAACGGGATATCCATGCCCATGGCCTCAATATAGCCCATATACACAATCCCATCGATCGGCATCCTCAGCAGTTCAATGTGGACGCACTGGTGGACAAGGATCAGGCCATCGATAGCAAGAACATCTACTCCGGTCAGAAGGACAACCATGAGAAGCTGAGCAACAAGATCCTCAAGCTGAACAAATCCAAGGAGCTGCCGGCGGAGATGGAGATGAGCAGCAGTGGAGGATTAGGAGGAGGAGGTAGTGGAGGTGGTGCACTAAACCAAGGTCCAGTGGTCCATTCATATCATATCACAAGTACTAAAAACACAAATCTCGCTCGTAAGACGATTGGTGGTAGCCATAACCCGTCGGAAGATGGCAATCCTAACGAAGCTGGTGCTGGTGAAGATTCGGAGGAGGAGTTGCAGGCGGAGGAGGTGTCCATCCACAAGAGCCCATCGAATAATGTCCATCCCAACCTCTCAGTTCTAGGTGGCGAGCTGCTCTGGGAGGAGGATGCCCTGTGGCGGGAGAGCCTGCGGCGGGTTTCCCAGCGGCATGCCAGATCCCTGGATGATCTGGACAGGATTACGGCACCAGTTGCTCCCCTTTCGAGTACGCCCAAGGCCAAGTTGAGTCGCGAGGTGACCTATGTGAATGACAGCCAGAAGCCCCGCCAGCATCCCCTATCCAACGAGCATGATGTGTATGTACAGCTCCTGGACAACTCCATCTCCTCCGCTTCGCTGTTGGGCCAGGACCAAACGGATTCCGATGTCTACGAGGTGCTGCGCGAGGAGACGGCCTCGAATTTGTCGCATAAATCGAACGAGTTGGATCGCGAGACCATCCGGCAGTGGGATGCCATGTCCAGTGGGCTAATGAAGAGCCACCACAGCGGTGCGGAGACCACAGGAGGAGGAGGAGGAGGAGCCAGTGCATCTCCCCAACTGCCCCTCACCAGCAGTGTGCGCTCCATCGTCCAGCAGTTGAACAACACTTCCATGGACGATACCAATGGAAATCCTCTGGTGACGGGGAAAAAGTCCAGAGCCAACAATAACCACTGAAAACTGAAAATAACCCCCCTCCTTGGGGCCCCGAAAAATATGCAATACTTTTCCGTAGTTTCAATTTAGCTTTCCGTTTTCACCATTTTTGGTTTGCACTCGGCAAGTTATTTTATGCCTCTGTTTGCCCATCATCATCATGTTTCCCCAGTTTTCACAGTTTTCCCAGCTAGATAGTGCTCTATTTGTTTGTTGACTGTCACTGTTGTTGTTGCTGTTGTTGTTGTCATTATTGTTGTGTTGTCTTGTTTTGTTTAATTAATCAACTGGTAAGCAAACTTATACATATATATTTATTTATCCAATTCCCCCACTTATCTCATTAAGTCATTGAATCGCTTGTATATACATACGCCAAACACACTCACAAATCTCACCCAAGCACACCCATTTGTAAAGTTGAACAAATCCATAGATAGATAGATACATTTTGGGCAGTTACAAATAGCCGTAGGAGCCAGCAGCTAAATCTATAGATAATGCAGATATTAGTAGCCAATTTCCATCTTCCAAAAAAATTACAAAAATAAATGAAATACAAACAGAGCCAAATTAAATATTCCGTACAACTGCTGGGCATTCGCTAACCGATAACTGATTGCTTTTCTAAATATTTCGCGCACGCATTGAAACTATTTTAAGACCCGCCTCTCCTGAACTTTCTAAAATATTTGCCTAATCCAATCTCTATGACCTTGTAGCCTCGATTTCCGTGCGCAATGTGAACAATCTGCCCGTGGGAAATCTGACTGTGAAACCGGATCCCTCGGATGTCCAGCAGGAGTCCGCCTTTGCTCCATACTATGGCGGAGCGGCGGAGACCAAGTACGCCAAGAATACGGTGCTCACGGATCGCGGACTCTACGCCGGAAACGGAACTCCTAGTGGGCTGGCCACGTCCACGCCCCAAAATCACCCGCAGTTCCGGATGCGGCGCACCGGAAGCAGGGCGGAAATCGATATGCTGGAGCGGGAGACAAGCAGCCAGATCAGGGTGAGTCCATCGAGGAAAACACTTAATCGGATTTCAGAATATTACCATTATTTTGCATTGAAACCTGATCCGTTTAAAGGACACAATCATAACCTGTGACTTTTTAAACGGCATCAATTGAGAGCTTGACATTAAGAGAGAAGTTTAATATTTTTTATATATCCCTTTGGTAAATCAAAACTCCATAGATTCAATATTTTCATTTATTTTTGCAAAGGGTTGAAGTATTAAAATCTGCACTGGGTGGGAAGCTGTTACGTAAAAATATAATTTCCATCTAAAAATATTTCCGCAATAAACCGAAATAGTTTCATTTCAAATTGAACTTTAGCCTGGAATGTATTCGTATTTAAAATGTGCTCTGCAACATGTATGAAATGAATAAACAGAATTTCTATACTAGGAATCAAAACAAAATGAAGTAAAGCATGCAAGCTAATTTTATTTTTTTTGTAGGGGAATAAATGGTGCAGTATTTTTTTAATAACTTTAAATAAATCCTTGAAACTTAAACAAGCATTGAAAAAGGGGAATGTTTAAATTAAAAAATAGTTAAATATATTTTTTATTTATTAAAAATAAATTCTTTAAATTACTACAAAAATTGAGAGACATGTAAGGGTAAATTCTTTGAACTATGTTACTCGGGGGATGGGTAAAAAGCAAACCTAAAATGTATCTGAACAACCCACAGAACTTGGATGTGTCGGCCGGGGATCTGTTGAGTCGCACCCACGAGGAGCTGGTCCTCCTGCTGATCCAGCTGCGGAGGCAGAGTAGCCAGACTGCCAGGGCCATCGAGCAGTGCTGCAGCGATATTCACGACGTGCAGGTGGATAAACGAATCAATTCTATGTTTATCGTTGGGCGGTTTTGGCTAACTTCCGGTGCTGGTTCTGTGACTAATTCTACATTTTATCTATCTTACTTTTACATTTATTAAATAAAAGCTATGAAATTCCATAAAACTAACAATTTATTCATGGAATCCCCTACAGAATCGCCTGCGCAGTGCCGAGGGTTTGACCAGAGCAGAAAGCATCCAGCGATTGGACTACTTGAAGCAGCACCTTTTGGACCTGGAGCGGCATTACGAGAAGAGCAAGCCACTAGTCAACTTGGTGGACAACATGGTCAAGCTGGGATCACTATATCGCAATGATGCTAATGGTAGGGTTCAGCCCGCCACTTTGGATCGCCTGGAGTTCAATCAAAGGATGCAGGAGCGTCAAATGCTGCAGGAAGAACAGCAGCAGTGGGAGCGTCTCAGTCCCAATCAGGCGGAGTTGCAGGTGGGTTTACTTAAGATAACTATAATAGGATCCATAAAATATAAAATGTGATTTGCAGGCCAAGGTGCGTGAGCTCTACCAACTGGATCAGCTGCTGCAGGAGGAATCTGGAACTCTGCAGAGTCTCCAGCGCGACAAGGAGGACCTCGAGCGGGCCTTGGGAGGATTGAGGGCCCGCATCCACGACAGCAATGCCACGCCCATGGCCCTGGAGGCGGCCAAGAAGCAGCAGCACATCCTGGAGCGCGAGTTGTCGCGGGTCCATCAACTGCTGGCCGAGAACTCAAAGGTATCCAAGGTGCCTAGTAGAAGTTTTTTGCATTCCGTGTCCACCTGCGTGTTATTTGTCTGCTTGAGCTTCGCATGTCGCTTATGTAACTAACCAAAAACTAATTTTTAAATCCAGGATTGAGCATCATATGATTCCTTCTTAAAGGAAATAGGAAATATTATATTAAGTTGCAAGCCAGAACGATTAATATCACCTGTTTTGATTCATTTCCTACTGAGCAAACTCAACCATTTAAATTTTTTTTTCACCTTAGCTTACTCAACTTTACAGTTTAAATTAAGAAGTTTTATTTGCGTTAGGTTAGAGTTAATTGTTAAATTAAATACGTAGTTGTTAGGAACGTTTTCAATTGATTGTGCATTTCAAAAACAATATACCTATATCAGGTCTTACATTTAAGATAAAGGTAAAACAAAAGACACAGTTTTTTAAATTGAAATAAATTTGATTGGGGGTTAACTGTAGTTTAGTGAGTGAAATATATATTTTTGTGTTACCAGAGATTAGTTTATTATATTTATTTAAAGTACAACACAGTTAGTTTAAACCAAAGCTCAACAAAATAGGATTAATGCAAAAGACTTCTCATGTTTGTGGCCTCTGCTGCATGTGCCATTGCCTGAACCCAAGGGCCAAGATCAACTAACCCCTAATCCTACCTTGCAGAAACTGGAGCAGACAGTGGCGGGAAATGCTCGCCTGGAGCAGGAGCTCCTCCTCCTCCGCCAGAAGGTGCAGGCCACCCGGGGAGGAGCAGCCACCAATGGCATGGGCGGCGATGGTCCGCACATAAATGGGGATGCCTCCGTTTTGGCCTCGGAGCTGGAGCGGGTTCAATCCCTGGTGGGCGATATGCAGAGACAGCGCCACGAACTCAGCTCGGCGGTTCGCCAGCTGACGGAGAACTCGACCAGGTTGTACCGGGAGATTGGCAACAAGGAGATGAACGGCGGTGGATCCACCAATGGCAGCCTGAAGAAGCGCAGCAACTCCACCAGTTGGACGGAAACCGATCTGGATGCCAATATGCTGCGATGTGGAAGTCGCCAGCAGCTGAATGACTCCACTCTCAACCTATCCACGCCCCTTTATGTGGACACCAATAGCTCCACCAAGTTGAGTGACTACAACCGATACAATGGAGGCGGAAGCAGCGATGCCCTGGAGATGAGCGGAGTGGACAGTGATGGCTTCCTGGACAGCAATCCCTTTGCCATTGGCCTGGAAAAGCCGGAAATCAAGACGGTGAGGATTGTGAAGCGGGAATCGGAGCGGCGGAATCGCGATCGCAGCGAAAGGGGTCTGAGCAGCTCCATCCAGAATCTGGATCAGGTCCTGGAGGAGGAGCAGTATGCCCAGCAGCAGAGGGAGCAGCAGCTGTACGCCCAGAACTTGGAGGAGCAGATGAGCAATGGCCACCAGAGTCGCTCCAAGTCGCTGCCGCGCAACTACAGTGAGCCCCCCAAGCAGAGGCACAGTCGTCACCTGAATGGCAAACAGCAGAATGGTCATCACTATAACAATGGCTTCGACTATGATCGGAACAGCAACTATGAGCACCAGCCACCGCCACCACCGGCACCCCAGAGCAATGGACACCACCATCATCCGCCGAGGGAGCACCGGGAGCAGAGGGAGCACCTGAATCCCCTGGCCAATGCCTACTTCGCCAAGCAGCTCCAGCAGCAAGTGAATCCCTCCAGGGACAGTGCCCGAGTGGCTCTGCGCACCAAGACGGACTCCCTGCAGAGCCTGAACAAGAGCCTCACGGACATCAGTCCGGAGCCGGTGTTCCAGAGCGTGGCTGCCCGCCAGATCATCAACGAAATGTCCGCCGGATCGGCGTCGGAGGACACCGAGAAGGTGGTGGAGAAGGTGCCACCGCATCACAAGCATCGCAGGGCAGTCCCGAGGGAAAAGAGGCGACACTACACTGCGCCAAATAATGTGAATCAGAAGGCCATGGAGAAGGTGCAGGCCGAGAACGATATGAATCGAAATGTAAGTGTTTGGTTAGAAGGGACAATGTAAATCTGTGGTTTGTGTTAATCTTTATTCTCGTAACTAAGAAGCGAATCCGTTCGTAACTAAGAATCAAGGCACTTTAAAACCCACTTAAATTACACTATTGAAACTTAACTCAATTTCTATAACTCTATATAGATTTGCTAAGGTATATATATTTCTTTACATTTACAGAACACCAACTGGCGAGCTCGCGATGATCTGGACATGGAGGTGGCCCTAAGACCTCGAATGAATGCCCCCGACGTGGTTCGTTCTGCTCTGGGACAGGGAGAAAAGATTTCGGAGAATACCATAGACAACTTGCTACTGGCGCCCAACAAAATAGTCATACCCGAGCGTTACATACCAGAAACAGTGAGTTGAAGATGATTAAAAATTTACCTAAACCATCTAATGATTTATGAAAAACCAAATAGACGCCCGAACTGTCGCCGGAGGAGAAGAAGCGTCGTCAGGAGAAGGTCGAGTCCATCAAGAAAATGCTATCCGAGGCGCCTATTAGCAGCAATGTAAGTCTAGGATTTTTATATATGATACCTAAGATATAGTTAAAACTACTGTATACGTATATCACCAGGAAAACGAAACTCTGCCGCCTAGCAAAATCAATGCCGAGAAGAAGCAGCGTGAACACCTGCTGCAACTTAATCAAATCCTGGCCCAGCAGGTGATGCAGGTCAGCAAGATCGTGGCCGGTAAGTAGAGTCATCCTCGGATTCATTTAGGTCTCCTACCAAGTACCAGATAAACTTTGTGTTAAGATCCAATCGATATCCTAAAAAAATAAATCCCCATTCAAACGTATACGCAATGCCTTGCAAGTTGAGTTTATGTTTCATGTTTATGTTCTTACTAATATGCTCTCTCAAAATCTCAAACATATAGACCCCTGTGTTATTTATCTATATGTATTAAAGCGTTATGCAGTGTAATCTAACCATGCCAGCAGATCCCCCATTTCAAACTGTCAACTCTATGCTCTTCTAATCTCTATATATGTATCTTCTTTCAACTCTTTCTGATTTCTAGATGATTAATGATAAAACATATCATATGCATACCATCTAATCTAGAGCGATAAGCCCCCGTTCGAATAAGAGTTCTAAGATCATGACCCCCCCACCCACATTGCGTGCTAATCACCGGCGTCGTTCGTCAAGTTCATAACCCCTTCTCACAAAGACACACCATTCAAAACCCAACCACCCACACAATATTCAGACACTTTCAACAGTCAATCGTACATTTGAAAACCTGTGGCCCACATTGCCCTCTCATGCATTCGCATTCGCATCAGCACCCGACCAGTTTATGTATAATTAATCATAAATTAAGTAACCATCGTTGAGAGTTCTATGAACTTCGTCAAGATTGAATACTCCAAATATTGCGCATACGCAGTGTTAGCCTACCCACAAAACATATCAAGCTGCAAGTTGTCAGGAGCTTTAAAATTCAATTGAAAAATTTTTAAATAACTGGAAATAATATTAATCACTTTCCTTAATTAAATTATATTTATTTTATTGAAGATTTGTTTTGAATACCTTATAATTAGGGTGTTGAAAAAATATTGAAATAATACAATAGGCCCCGCAAAGAGATTTCATTAACCTTCAAGAAATATTTATTACAATACTAACACCTACTTTACATTTACTTATTATTATTTACACTTATATTATAATTGTATAATTTATGCATTTGCATTCGTTTAATTTACATGTTTGTCTTTATTTGTTTTGCATATTTTTCTAGGAAATCCCACTAGTCACAACTAATCCGCAAGTAGCCTGTCGAGTTGTTTCTGTTCACTTTTTGTGTTCACCCTTGCATTGCATTTAATTTTTGTTCACGTTGTGTTTTGCCAATCGATAACTGAGAGGGTTCGCATCACGATTCGCGATAAATGAGTTTGTTGTTCGAAGTTCGAAGCATACCAGACATACGTACATATACGCATACCTAGTATACATTACACCCCAAGTATACAGTAACTACAAACAAGAACACACGCGAATTTGAGATTTACAGCATGCTAAACTCACATAAAAAACATAAAACTCACTCCAAAAAAAACACAACAATTCACAACAAGAAATACTAAAAACCATATATATATATAAACGACAACAAGAATAAACAGCAACGTAATAGCAACAAGAACAAGTACAACAACAACAAGCACAAGAACAACAACAACAGATATACGATTACGTAAGTCCAGGTTTGTACACATTTCGATTATACCGATATTCATAAATAAACAATAAACGAGTATATTGTAGCTTCCAGGCCTTGCATTTTACATATAATCACGACCAAAACTCTGCTTAGCCTAGAAATGAAATATTGGCTAAATCAATTAACCTGCACGCCATAAATATAATACTAGACTTAAGGCTATACAGGAAATATGCACCCCCAACACTAACCCACTAAACCACACACAAGCCAAACTTACCAAACACTCAAAATTCAGAAAAAAAATTAGTCAAACACCAAAATAAGCACAGAATTTAATGTTTTCACCAAAGTGCAATTGTATTGGAAAATAAGGAAGGATAGGAATCAAATTAATGATGCAAGGATAGAAATATTAAATATTATAAAAACCTTATGGACATATGGAAATAAATATTATCCTTTAAATCTAAACATGCTAAAAATCTGTTCAAGAATTTTTTAAAATCGTTTATTAAAATCACTAAGACTTTAAAATTTTAATACCTACGAAGAAATAAATCAATTAAAATTTAATAAATTCAAACAACTGTCAGTTTTTAAAAAGATGCAATTTTACCAGAAATGTTTGCGAAGTTTCAAAAACCAATTTCATGCAAATGGCTTAGTTTCCAAACTAAATTCTGCACTGCCTAACATGCGTATAAAAGTTGTCCAAAAGAGTCAAGAAGCGATAAATCGAGTAAGTATAAGCTCAAAGCACCAAGAAAACAGCTAAGACAGGAGTAGCAACAAACACAAACATACTACCAACATAAAAGTTAAAAAAAAAGAAGAACACAAACCAAACACACACGATTTATACTTCCGAATGGTTATCGGTGTACTTTTTTATATACTACAAAACTTTTACAGCACGCTTGGGAAGGTTTTTGGTCTAAGAAAATCCACATTTCAAACTTGATGAACTAACTTTTGGCCCTTTTTGTCAACCCACAGAGAAAGCCATGTCGAAGGCGGCCGAAAGATCCAATCAAGATGACGAAAACCGATCGGAGTCACCAAGTGAACCACTGCCGATATTCCAGCAACGCGACAATTTTTACAGCTAAACGAGAACTACGTCAACTAATTAAACTAACTCCGATTGGCGAATATATTTATACTATTCAGGCACAATATCCGCTGCATTTATCTTGAGAATCAAACTAGGAAATTTGCTAACAATTTTAACCCAAAAATCGTATCAATTCTTAAATGTGACTGAGTTTTAGGGGCGTTATATATCTGAAAAAGTTGAAAAGACCACGAAAGATCGAAAGTCAGAGGGGGTGGGGGAATTAAACGAATTTTTGCGAGGCGATTGTTATTGCGTAAATGATACTAAGCATATTATTATATATATACAACATATACAATATGGAAATCAAAGATTCAACATATCACTGTAAGCGTGTTACAAGTCATTTAAACGATATCAATTACACACAATTAGCGAGCGTTCTTGAACTGTAGGAAAATCGATATGGGTATAGATCTGCAAAGGGTCGGCAAAATTATGTACGATCCAAATCGGAGTTGAGGCGAATCAAATACGTTCCTGATGGGCTTACAAAGTAGAGTGGCAGGTCAAAACTTATTCACGACAACTAATACAATAACTTTAAAGACTTTTGTAACGGACTTTTCGAGAGTAGCGCATTTTCTCTACAAAAAGGAACAAACAAAACGAACAAAACCAACCAACCAAAAAGCAGTTACACTAATTGAACCACTTTTGGAGCCAATATTAATGCATTTGATATGAACAAGTTTTTAAGATCAGTCAGCAGAATATCAACAGCAGTGGCATCAAACCGTTAGTTAGGGACTCTAGTCCGAACCCGATACCATCATTCCTATAGGACGGAAAATAGAAATCTGGCAGAACACAGCACGGCGCACTCAGAGCACTTCGAACCTTCGCAACTTTTCCCAAAACGTACCTATCGCAATTATTAATAATGGACTAATATGAATACACAACTGAGGAAATATAATTCAATTGTATTTAAACGAGAACATACATATAAATGGCAACGCTGAATTACGACATGCATATATTAATTTAAAGCTATACATATTTAAACGAGCATAATGCTATAATATACACAAACGTACACATAATTATTTAAATGTAGGTCAATTAGCCGGGCAATTAAAGGGAAGCGGTTGAAATCAAATATTTGATCATGTTGATGAATGTTTTTAAAAAAAGAAAATAAATTGCAATACAAGTCAATGGATAAATTATACGCAATCGCTGGTTGAATTTAATGTCTATGGAAACTTTAAAAGTTATTGAAATCGCATAGCTCTATTCACAATTATACATACAAAAAAATAATCTTACTAACCCACAAGAACAACGACGAGCAAAATGTTTATAGAAGAGATAATCTAAACGAAAACGATCCCTGCAAAATTGTACAAAAATATATTTTAAGTTCTTAGTCTTTAGTTGTTATTATCTATTTGCTACGTATGGTTTAAGGTTCTTTTATCATTATCGCTAAGTTCCCAATGATTCCACAAGTTGTTTGTACATTTCGCGGTGCTATATGGATGTGTATATGTAAATTATTTGCTCTCAAGTTTTCCCCTAAGTTTGCGCACCCACAGAAAAAGTTAAGGCAAAGTCAAAGTATATATACGTAGACACACTGTCAGATATGTAGATTGTCGGCTTAAAATTGCTACTGCACCAGGCATAGAAGCACGCATACTCCCCAGATACCGAAAGTAGGGGGGAAAAAACATCTAAGAAGAAAGAAAAAACACACTCAACAAATATTTATTGCATATATATATAGATATACATAAACATATACATATAAACTGTACGTCATAATATGATAAGAGTTGAAGACGATAAACTGCGAACGAGAAATGTTATCAATAAAGATTATAGTTGAAAATTCAAATGAGCCTTTGTTTTCATTTTCATTGTAACAGCCCGAAGGTTTCGCGGAACAGGAACTCGACTGCTCGACTGGTCACTTACTGCCCAGCCTTATGACGAGTATCATTCCCAATTGCCGGCTAAATTCAAGATCAATGTTAAGGGGCCGATTCCCCGTCGTCATGAATCACAATGAATCCAGGCGCTGACAGCTCAACATTAAATATTTTCGTTTTGAATTGTATTCTGGGCCGACGCCGCTGGCATGCCAAATAGACCCAGAAATCGCCGTAGAAGTTGGCTCTGCGGAAATGTGTGGGTGTGGAGATAGTAGAGATAGACATATCGGGAGAAATGTGGAGCATTCGATAACTTTCTAAAAGCACCGCCCCGATATCATATTACCATAATCGTGACTCTTGTGTCCACAAGGTGCGTGGTGATTAACCAATTAGTTTGGGTCAGAGTACACTGAGAACTTTTTCTCTTCACTTCTTTTATATTAAATCTTTAAGTTCTAAAAAATGTCTAAACAGTTCCCAAAAATAAACCTACGTTTTAAAATACAATTCGGTCTATTTTAAAATTGTTTTATATTTTTTTGGATTTGCTTAAACAGTTCTGAATAGTTTTCAAACAGCAACGGCCTGATATCATATTAACATAATCGTGACTCTTGTGTCCACAAGGAGATGGATAATTAACAAATTAGTTTGGTTTCGAATAAACTAAGAAATTTTAAAAAAGGACATTTTTATTAATTTCGTAAATAATAATTCTTTATATTTAAAAAAAAAATTTGACTGCTTCCAAAAAGTTTTTAGAATTTATACAACTTTTCCTGATTAAAAAAAAATTGTTTATAAGACATAACGACATAACGAATTAAAAAAATTAAATTAATAAAAATTAAAATTTAATTGCCCAATCACAATTTATTTTTATTTAAATATTCAGTTGATATTAAATAGGTAGTCAACTATTTCTTTTACTGAACATTTTCTAACTAGATTAGTATTCCTTATAGGTCTCTTTCACTTTTAAACTGATTAATAGTTAAGGGGAAACCCTCTTCAATTCGATTGATGAATAATAATAATAACGTTAAGATAACTTTTTAAAGTATATTTCCTAACAATTAGCCACAAATACGATAATCTGAGAGGTTTTCGCCCTGCATCGCAACCTCTCTCAATGGGCTTCAATTCAGCGACCGCAAAATTAGCAACACTTTGTCACATTTATTGGCAATTAATGTACGTTTGCGGCTATTACGGACCAAAATCGGCCCATTGCAACGCAGGCTAATTACAAAACGCTCAAAAGACCAGCGACTTATGAACGACTGTAGTCGCGTATGTAAATGGGTATTGGATATAAAAAACCTGAATTATCATTGACCGATCAGGTTTATGATGCGCACAAAAGCAACTCAAAATCTGAGTGAGTAAGGGAGCAGCAGATAAAAAATAAAAACCCCGACATGCGACATTGTCCAAGTATTAATTGTGCGGAATAAAGTGAGTCGTACGGCAAGATTTAGTCGATTCTGTGCGGCTAAAGAGCGCGGTTCAAGCGAAACGTTCAAGGAAGATAAACTGTTAAACTGGAGCAGTCCAAGGGAATCGGCATACCATACCAACAGCATGTTAGCCTCAGTTCCCGTCCGTGTAAGTCCAGAGCTCGTAAATCCTCCAACCCAATCCAAATGCAAAACCAACCCAATCCAACCCCATTTCAATCCCATATATTTCACACAGCTGGCGCTGTTCGCAGTGATAAGCTCGCAGAGTCTGCAGCTTCAGGCTGCTCCGTTCCCAGGAATCGAGAATGCGTCAGTATCCGTATCTGTTAGCTCCGTATTTTCTGCACTTCACCTGGTTGTTTTTTTTTGTTGCCCTGCTCCCTCTTTCAGTGCCTTCGCCAGCCAAGATTTATTGGCCGAGGAATCGGCGCCCGTTTTTAGCCAGGTCCACGTCCAGCACAATCGGCATCGTCGCCATCATGGGGACGGCAATTACCACGGGCATCACCATCACAAGCGGCACTGGGATCACCACTTCCCGGCTCCCGACTGCCATCACCCGGGCGGATTTGGATTTGGATTTGAGCATCCCCCACATGGACCGCCGCCACCCCACAGATTCGGATTAGAGCCACATGGCTTCGAACCCTTTCCGAACGCCTTTGGAGCCCCGGATTACGAAGAGCACCAGCGACCCTTTAAGGCCGAATTGGAGCCATTTAAGGGTGAGCATAGCTTACTCTAATAATCCCCATTAAGTAAATGAAAGCATTCGTTAGAACCAAATGTTTCAAGTTTAAAGTCATAATCAGGATGAATAAGGGGAAGGGAAGTGTGTTTCATCATATATATTTCACTTTTTAAGGAGCCAAATCAAGGTATTGCTAAGAAAGTTATCATGCAGTGCATATATAGATATACACGAATTTTACAATGTATTTTAAACAAGACCTATAAGAAATTGTTATCATTGTGTGAAATGTCGACTAAACACTTTTTCTTGTTTCTTATTCATTTTATTGTAAAGCTATCTTATAGAAACAAAGTTTACTTGTGTTGGTTTTTGGATAAACATTTATCTGTAGTTGATTTACACATTTAATGTGTATTTGCGCAAACAGTTAGTCACAAAGAAACCCTATTAAGGCACTTAATGCGTAATGAAAGAAAACATGGATAAAATATCTTTGCTTTGTTCAGTCGAATATTCTAGATGTCCCATTATTACTATTTTGAATAAATATATTACTTCATATGGCGATTTAACATAGACTGAAATCTTTATATAGAAGCCACTTATATTTTAGAAGTCCATTCTATTCCATTCTTAAATTTATTAAAACCTTTAAAATGCAAGATATAATCAGTGCACTCTTTTATTTCAGATGACAAAGGAGCATCTCAAGTGGCTCCCAGACAGCCCAGCTCAAGCAGTGTAGCTCCACCACCTGCGGCTCCGATTACTCCATCGACCACCAGCACCACCACCTCCACCACCAGCACCACCTCCACCACTTCAGCACCCATCTCTTCCAGCACCGAAGAAGCCCCCCTGGCCATCGACATACGCATTGGCTCCGAGACCTAGACCTAAGCCTCGACTCTATTTTATATCTCGTGACATTAAAGTTGCTACCAAAACCACAAGTTATCTATCCATTACCATTATAATCGGCCAGCGAAGCCTGGATGCGCACAGCGTAACATTATCCAGGCCACTCGCAGGGATCTTTTTAGGGCCCTGTCTGACATATATATGGTAATTCTAGAGCATAAACAACACGCAGGGGGTGACAGTAAGATAAAATGCGAATGCAAAACAATCGGAAAGAAAGTGGTAAGACAACACAAAGAGCTAAACCGATCTGGAAATGAGCACAGTCAGTCAGCAGAGGCAAAACAAAAGCCCCTTCCACCGCCCGCGACCATTCCCTTAAAGTTGCGATTCTTCGGAGAATCGCACACCTCTCACGCACTCTACGCAGGAACAAAGACGCAATCCAAGAACCGGACTGCAAAAAAGAGTGTTTCGAGACAACCGCCTCCCACTATAAAAGTCGAGCTGATCGCGAGCTTGACTGTCATTTGACGCCAAACGAGCGTCGCACACAGAACTCGAGATTCGAGATTCCCCCGATTTCGGTTTACACATATATTCAAATCAATTCTTTGGTTATCGTCGCTTCGTGGAGGAGCATTAAGAAATGGGTAAGCCTGACCGTGCATACAAAGTGCAAATCGGTGAATGAACTTGAGGCGTGCAGCATTATGGACACATAACCTTAGCTGTTCCATAAATACGAACCCTCTCAGTGGGACTCGAACTACATTCAATTATAAATGCAGCTCACGTTGATCTCGAAAAACAAGTCTTAACTGGGAACGGGAGAGGCTTTTACGATTCTTTGACTGGGAAAAAGCAAAACAGTCGGGAGCGTCAGTATTTCAAAATAACATAATGGTGTGCTTAAAAATAAACAAAGTTTAACTTTTAAGGTGTGGACTTGCCAGAAATTTTAAGGATTATGTGTTAAGATCATATCGAAATCATAATATTTTTTCTGATCTTTTATAGTGCATTATTTGGCGCTCCTGCTTCTGGGAGTGCTCTCTTCCTGGCCAGCTGCAACTTTGGCCAGTGATCAGCCTTCTAGAATCGTCTGCTACTTCAGCAATTGGGCGGTATATCGACCTGGAGTCGGTCGATATGGATTGGAGGATGTGCCCGCCGGTATGTGCACTCATATCATCTACTCCTTCATCGGTGTTAACGACAAAAGCTGGGATGTCCTGGTGATCGATCCGGAATTGGATGTCGATCAAAGGGGCTTCAGCAGGTTCACAAAGTTGAAGAAGATCAATCCCGATGTAAAGTTGGAGATTGCAGTGGGTGGCTGGGCCGAAGGTGGCTCCAAGTACTCACAAATGGTGGCAGTTCGAGAGCGGCGACAGAGTTTCATCCGCAGTGTGGTACGCTTTATGAAGCAGTACAATTTCGATGGTTTCGATCTGGACTGGGAGTATCCCGGGGCCACAGATCGCGGTGGCTCCTTTAGTGACAAGGACAAGTTCCTGTATTTCGTTCAGGAGCTGCGACGCGCCTTCGATCGCGAGGGTTTGGGATGGGAAATCACCATGGCGGTGCCGGTGGCAAAGTTCCGCCTGCAGGAGGGTTACCATGTTCCGGAATTGTGCGAGTAAGTTGAATATATGGTTCAGTTTTGCTTATGACATACAAAATAGTGATTAAAAAAAGTATAAACGGCTCAAAGTTTTTAAACTCTTAAATAATATATTTTTTAGTAGGTATAACAACATCCTTCTAAATTTTAGAATTTTATAATACTAAAAAACCTAGGTATGCATTTAGGTATTTTTTTATATCAATGTTTATTTGTTAAATTAAAATATTTCTATGGTATTGACCAGAACTATTTTTACAATTTTGTAAATCGTAAATTCAATTTCCTAAAAGGTAATATTTACCACAGAAACTATTTTAATACAAATTAAAGTTTAACTCCCTTGCAAAAGAGCTGAAGTTTTTCAGCAACGTTCATTCACGCTCTCATTATTGCCCACCTTTGCAGAGAGCTGGATGCCATTCACGCCATGACCTATGACCTACGGGGCAATTGGGCCGGATTCGCCGACGTGCACAGTCCACTCTACAAGCGAAAACACGACCAATACGCCTACGAGCGCCTGAATGTGGTAAGTGATATATATAAAAAGACATAATGGGGAAAGTGGGAAAGAGCAGGGGGGATTGCTGATGCTGGTGCCAAACTAATTAGCGTCGCCATTCAAGAACGACGGCCTCGCCTTGTGGGAGGAGATGGGCTGTCCGGCCAACAAGCTGGTGGTGGGCATCCCCTTCTACGGCCGGACTTTCACTTTGAGCAGCTCGAACAAGAACTACAACATGGGCACCTACATCAACAAGGAGGCGGGTGGCGGTGCGCCGGGTCCCTACACCAATGCCAGCGGCTTTCTGGCCTACTACGAAATCTGCACGGAGGTGATGGACAAGTCCAAGGGATGGACCGTGGAGTGGGATGACGCCGGAATGGTGCCCTACACCTACAAGGACACACAGTGGGTGGGCTACGAGAACGAGGCCTCCGTCCAGATCAAGATGGACTTCATCAAGCAGAAGGGCTACGCCGGCGCCATGACCTGGGCCATCGACATGGATGACTTCCATGGAATGTGCGGCAAGAAGAACGGCTTAACGCAGATCCTCTACGACAACATGAAGAACTATCGGGTACCGGAACCAACAAGGGAAACTACTCCAAGGGTTAGTTGGGGTTTCTAATTAAGGAAACGGTTATATGATGAGTTTCTTTTCTTTTAAGCCTGAGTGGGCCAAGCCTCCAGCAACTCCTCCAAATCCGGATGAGGGCACTGTGGTGCAAACCCAACCAAAACCAACGATGGCTACTACTAAGAGGCCAAAGCCCAAGCCCAAGCCAACTTCAGTTGCTTTAAGCCCTACATCTGTTCCAGTGCCAACTGTTACTAGTACCACGCCAAAACCAACAACAAAGGTAACAACTATTGAAAATTCTTATAAATAAAATTTTATAAATATAGGTTTGTTAAATATTCTTTATTATTTACCTACCAGAAACCCAAAAAGCCGAAGAAGCCCACAACCACCACAACAACAACCACTGCCGCTCCGGAAAAGAACACTGAGGAGCCCGAAGAAGTTGTTGATCCTGAAGAACCCGAACAGGCTATGGGTTCCCAGTTTGATCCCAACGAAATCGATTGTACCAACCGTGACTTTGTTCCACATCCCAACTGCCGAAAGGTAAGTGTGAAATAACTTTTTTTTTAAAAGCTAGTTCCTCATAAATCTATGAAGGATTTAAAATAATCTTTACAAGCCTTATGTTCTTTCCTTCACAAAAAATCATTGCATACTTTATGGCATTATTTTTTGAAACGAACTAAAGTTGATCTTGTGACCAATTCCCTTCATTCTATTCTGAAGTGGAATATATATAGACTATCCCTCTACGACTTAAGAATGTTCCAGAATTTCAATATATTCTGTCATATTACTAATAATCCTTTTCTCTACCAGTACTTCCGATGTGTCCATGGCAAACCCGTGGAATTCGAATGCAAGGAGGGAACAGCTTTCCACACTGTCCTGAATGTCTGCGATTGGATCGAGAATAGCGATCGCTACTACTGCACTCGTCTGAAGCAGAAGAAGGAGGGCAACGAGGCCCACTAACTGTCCCAAAATATACATATCTAAATTATTTAAAAACGAAAAATCTTCATGTACACTTAGAAATAGATGTTTAAGTATTTTAATTTAATAGCATCTTGGGGTTATAAAATAGATAACCAGACGAGACGAAAACAATAAAAATAAATTTGATTTTAAAATCGAATAAAGCAAGAACTAAATGGGCCGTTCAATAGAGGTGTGAGCAATCGTTTCTAGAATAAAACAATACGTGATGGGGCAGAACGTGTCTTACATAAGGCATGCTCGATGATCAGCGGATTACGTATACGTAATGCTCCCTGCCCTGCACAATTTTATTTGGATGAGAACTAGCCAATTCTAATTAAGCTAATAAACGCAATGACTTGGGACACATTTTCACTTGTCCGCGGCGATCCGAGATGGGGTGAGATGAGGTGCAGCGAGGATGGTAGCCTTGGAACACAACCAGCGAACAGCTGTTCGTGCAATCAACCATATAAACGAGCAATGATAAATGCTACAGCGAGATGTATGTATCATTTCAGACCCTAACATTTGATTTTCATAATCTCATTTCATACGCGGAGAGCTTGAGGGAAATGGAACCTAAGCATTTGTGACACGAAACAAATCGCAAAGAGGCCAAAATCTTGATTTCGAAATATTCCTTTTGGCTCAAAAGATGCTCTGAGTAATAATATGCGGAATGAGCACCGCATTGTCTATAATTAAACATTCCTCCAAAACGAAAGTTCTGAGAGAGAAAGTGATCTAGTGCAAAGGAAATATCTAATCAATCACAAAAGAGCTCACAAGTAGAGTAAAAATATATATTAAAATAATTTTGAAAATACTTCCAACCCGTGAAAGCTATTAATTTCCCATAGGCTTATCCCAAGAATTCGCCGGGATGTTCCCAAAATCCCAGCAGAGAGCGCCACCCGGCGAGAGGAAATAGAATTAATATTGAAAGAAAAAAGAAAATGGAAACGGAAAACATAGAAAGAGCATTAGGCGAGAAGGAAAACCCACTCACTCACTCAACTGTGTGTGCTTTTGACAAAAATTCGTGCTACGAAAATATCAAAATCGAATAATTTTCGCGGTCACAAGGTAAATTCATGGTATATGCATGTTGAGTTACGAATTGGTTTTGGACCGGGAGAGATCGTCTCGTATACTCGTGTACGGCACACTGAATTTTCTTACCAGATACCAGATAGAAAATAGATGTGATAGGTGTTGGGAAAATTCGAGCTGCCCTGTTCAAAAAACGACACGCACACGACGTGCACAGACGACCAAAACGAAGACGACCACGACGGCCAGAAATAAGCAAATTATTTAGCTAACAATCGTCGAAAGGGACACTAAGGATTACCCAGCCGACGATTGTTGGTTAAATTTGCTAACGGCAGCGCGAAAAACCTAAAAACCTAAAATCAATAACTAAAATATATATTAATAATTAATAATATTAATAAATCGATCTGCAAAGTGAATGAAATAACGAACAAGTGCAAAATTGGAAACCCACTGAAACTGTGACAAAATTTGTGCGATCCTAACTGAACATCTATACAGATACCTCTATATATAAACATACCAGACTTCCAATCTACACACTATACATCCTATACATTCTATAAAAAAATCTATCCAGCTCTCTGGCCTTAAATAATTGTTGGTTTTCGAATTCTTCACTCTTTTCATTTAGTGCATTTAAACGAGCGCATATATAGCGGATGCATATATATGCAGAATACGAGAAAAAGTGTTAATTCTAATTTTCCCTAATTATTCATAATTACGGAAAACTTGCAAGGAGAATTTATGACGTGGCTAAAGTGCTAACCACGCTGGAAACTCGAGGATAATTTGTTGTTTTGATTATTATGGGGCGGCTAACCATTTGGTTCCTACTGGGACTAACGTTAATCGCCGTCTCCAATAATGGTGAGTACCCTTCGGTTCCCATATATAGAGAGAGATTATATAAGGCAAAAAAAGGGCGAGAGTTGGCACTTTCGAATATCTTGACAGTTTTTCACGCAGCCTGGGCAGGCATTATGCAATTTTATAACAAAAAGCCAAGAAAAACAGAAGGAAAACGTCCGAAAAAAAGATATATGTATTAATATACGTTTAAAAATATTTGCCTGAGTTTGTGCGTTCTCTATATTTTTTCTTTTTATTTTTTTTTTGGTTCGGTATTGGTGTCTGCAAACGTCAGTGGACGACACTTTGGGCATTAGTATATTGGTATAGCCCCGTACACTTGACTTGGCCAACCACTAGTGGCAGATACACAGATACAGATATAATTTTTGCCGACTTTTTTCATCTCGCGAGAACTTTTGAGATTTTTGCGCCGCTTGGTTGCTCTTCGTTGTCATCGCTTGTAATATTTTTAAATTTAGACAATTTTAAGTTATTTTATTTGCGCTCAGCGAGCGCTTTCCATCTACATATGTATGCGAAATGTCTCTGTATATTTTGTTTGGTTTGCTCAAGTTTGCAAAACAGCCAAAAAATATTGAAAAAATACTAAAAAGAAAAATGAGAAATGGCGCAAATGCCGTGTACTATATATTATGGGCTGGGATGGGCTCGATTGCAGCAACATAAACACAATATGCAGGCAGGCGGTCGGTCGGTCGGCGAAATTTGTATAAATAATTCTATCAATGCGGTTAGCAATGAAATGCGAAATTGCTCAAATAGCTTCCTGCCCACATACGCCCTGAAATAAATCAAATGAATTATCTGCCGACAGGCAAACTGCACACTGAAAACTGATAGGCAAACCCATTTAAAACCCGCTTAATTGGACCCCAATATATATTTTGGATAGTCTGTTGATCTCGGGCAGGCATTTGTTCTAATTATGAGAAAATACGAAAGTAATTAGTCGAGCGACCTCCAGCCCACCAGTCATTCAAAAAGACGACCTTCCATTACCGAAAAGCAAGTTCTGAAGATATAGAATATTCCATTGCAAATGGTACGCCCCCGCATCCGGATTTTCGGAGCAGTAAGGTGGCCAAGAGAAACAAAAATAAAGAAGTAAGGCCAAAGTGGGCGAGCGGCCAACAGAATGGTACCGAAATTTACTCATCCGCAAGCTGGCGAAATGTGTTTGAGTTCTCATCTTTTAAAAATAAAATTCATAAATCCGCCGCATATATTTCGAAGTGTGTATGTTTGTGCACGGCGAGTACCATAAATAATGTCAAGTTTGAACAGATTGAATGACCTCGCCGTTTGGCGCTGACATCAAACCGAGAAAGTGGGGCCATTGTTCTTGGTTCTTAGGATGACGAGATGAAAATAGCTTAGGGCCCTTCCTAGGGCTTCCTGATCTCTGGGCTATACTCGCCATACTCGGATTACAAATTGACCTGTCATGTTCTTTTCGACGATTTTCAGTTGGGTTTGTCAATGCCGATGTCGGACCAAGCGAATCAGAATGTCGACCCTACATTGAAAAGGCCATACATGAATTGAAAACAGGTAAGGAATAGTTATAAATAATAAAAGAATTAGAACAAGACAGATTTACAAATTAAATTGCTGTAAAAATCCTTATGATGAAATTAAATAAGGACATTTAAATTGTAAGCCAATTAAATGAATTTCCCTCACTTTTTTTTTAAATGATTATTAAACCAACCGGCTCTTCACATTTTTGTGAAATACAAGTTAATAAATTTTGTTAAATGGTCTATTAAGATATATCTACCTATCACAATGATATCATACCGAAGTGCGAAAATAAACAAATCTTTTAGTATGAGTAATACAATATTTATGAGCTATTTAGCGGATAATTCATTCGGTTATATGTATATTTGCAGATGGTGTCAAAGATGGATCTGGAGAACTGCAATCCGATCAGCCACGTGGGGACGACGACGATGATGACGATGATGGTGGGCTATCCGCGATTGAGAAAGAGACGATTGAAATTGAAACTGTCGAATTGGATTCCACAGAAGACGCGAAAAGTGCCAACGATTTAGATGGAGATGGCATCCCCGATGACGAGGACGATGATATCGATGGGGATGGCATACCGAACGACAAGGACGATGATATCGATGGAGATGGCATACCAAACGACGAGGATGAGGACATTGATGGCGATGGCATCCCGAATGAAGAGGACGATGATATCGATGGGGATGGTGTGCCCAACTCCAAGGACGAGGACATCGATGGGGATGGTGTGCCCAACTCCAGAGATGAAGACATCGATGGCGATGGCAAGGCGAATCACGGTAAGTTGGCTAGTACTCGAAAGTTAACTGATAAGACTTAAAATTATGATTTCAACCCGCAGAGGATGATGATCTAGATGGCGATGGCACTCCAAATCATGGTATGACCATAAACTATACATTCTTTTTTGCTTTCGATACATAATTTGCATATTTTTAAAGCTTTAATTTGTATATTTCGTTTTAAGGCTATAATAGTGCTTAATTTAAAAGCTTTTTTTGATTTTCAGATAGTTGCAACGTAGCGTTCTTACCTTGTTTTAACTTCAGCAATCTAGCTTCTTTATGATTTAAACCACAGATTTGTCAAGCATCTAAATATTTTTTAAATATTTCAGAGGACGAAGATCTTGATGGAGACGGTGTGCCAAATGAGGAAGACGATGATCTAGATGGAGATGGAAAAATCAATCATGGTGGGTTAACAAAATATATATTCATCAAATTAAATATATTAATTTATATATTTTGAATAACAGAGGATGAAGATCTTGATGGTGATGGAGTGAACAATGAAGATGATGAAGATCTGGATGGTGATGGCAAAGCTAACCATGGTAAAAATATTATAGTTAAGTTCTTTCTAATTCTATTATATTCTAATTTATTTCCCTTATTTTCCTTTCAGAGGATGAAGATATCGACGGAGATGGCGTGAAGAACGAAAAGGATGACGATTTGGATGGCGATGGCACCAACAATTCCAGTAAGTTGCTCTTATAAAAGCATTTTAAAGTTTCTTAATAACCATTTCCCTGTAACTCCTTCAGAGGATGAAGATCTGGATGGTGATGGTGTGCCAAACGAGAAGGACGACGATCTCGATGGGGATGGCATCCTGAATGAGCACGACGGTGATGTGGATGGCGATGGAGTTCCCAACGAGCACGATGACAAGGATAGCGGCGAGAATGCCGATGACGACGACGATGATGATGAGGATGAGAAGGAAGCGGTGAAAAAGCGTAGCAAGCGTGAAGTGGATGCTGCTCCAGTTCATGACATTGAGGCTCCACCAAGCCCTGCCGAAGAATTCCCCGTAGAGGAGGAAATCGTCAAGGAGGAATCTGCTGAGGTGGAACCGGAAGTCGAGGCTGTGAAAGTAGAGGAGCCCGAACAGGAAGCTGTCCCGGAACCGGAAACCGAGGAAGTCGAACCAGAACCAGTTAAACAGGAAGAAGAGAAGCCCGTGCCTGAGGAAGTGAAGGTGGAGGAGAAGCCCGCTCCTGTCGAGGAAGCTGAGGAGGAACCTGTTCAGCAGGAAGCTGTTCCCAAGGAGCCCGAAGCCGTCCCAGAAGATGCTGTCGAACCTGAGAAGACTCAGGAGGAACCACAAGCAGATGCCGCCAAGGAATCCGCTGAGGATGACGATGATGATGAGGATGACACCAAGCCAGAGGATGAGCTTCTCTGGGTAAGACTCTGGTAAAATCCATTGTATAAAAATGTATAATTATATAATTTTCAGGAAGGAGTCATTCCCGAGAACCGTCGCAGTCGTCAGCACATCACGGAACTGCTGCAGCTGGATGAGGAGTTCAATGCCCGCGAGAAGGCCACCGACAATGTGGCCGAGATCATCTTGCGGGACATCAAGCGCATCTACGAGAACGCTGTTAAGCCCCTGGAGACCCTCTACAAGTACCGCGACCTGAGCAACCGCCACTTCAGCGATCCCGAGATCTTCTCCAAGCCACTGATTCTGTTCATGGGACCCTGGTCGGGTGGCAAGTCGTCCATCCTCAACTATCTGACCGACAATGAGTACACCCCGAACTCTTTGAGAACTGGTGAGTACTAAAGGGTATACAAAATAAGTCTTTAATAGTTCAATACCAGGGTATATATACCAGAATATCTTTTTTTCGGTTATTTAAAGGCGTACAGAAACCTCTTTTTGCTTGTACTAGGAATAGATACTTCTTATAATATTAGGAGCTATTTTATACAAATAATAATGATCAGACCATATATTATTTTCCAGTATTTTTTTTTAAATGTTTATAATAAACATGCATAGTTTACAGGGATTACACACTTATAAAGTGATGTAACTCAGCTCCTAACTTGTTAAATACGTGCTAACTAATTCACACAACAAATGAAAAATATACTAAACTTTTCCTATTCTCACTTTTTTTATCTGCTCCAACAATAGGTGCCGAACCCTCTCCAGCCTACTTCAATATTCTGATGTGGGGCAACGAGACGGAGGTTCTGGACGGAACCCAACTGGCGGCGGACTACACCTTCGCCGGCCTGCAGAAGTTCGGCCAGGGATTGGAGGAGCGTCTGCGTGGTCTGAAGATGAAGAGCAAGATCCTCGAGAAGGTAAGATATATAGCCGAATTATCTGACAGGGCAGATCAGGGCCAGAGGTATATAGGTGCCGCCATGCATTAACTTGTCGCCCAGGGCAGCTGCCCGTCGATTGGGAAACTGCAAACTGCTGGCCACCTGCCAAACGGAATTTATAGCTTTTAGCACACAGGCTGTTTGCATTAATTTCGTTATTAATAAATTGATGCGGGGCGGGGCGGAGAGCGGGCAACTAAATACATATAGACATAGTAAGGCAGCGCGGGCAGAACAACAGAGAATTACTATATTTAAGCACTTGGCTATGCGTTTTTCAGGTCAACATCGTCGAGATACCCGGCATTCTAGAGGTGCGCAAGCAAGTGTCCCGAGTCTTCCCCTTCAACGACGCCTGCCAGTGGTTCATCGATCGGGCGGACATCATCTTTCTGGTCTACGACCCGGCCAAGTTGGATGTGGGTCCCGAGACGGAGGCCATTCTCGACCAGCTGAAGGGGCGTGAGTACCAGACGCGCATCATCCTCAACAAGGCGGACACCGTCAAGCCGGAGGAGTTGCTGCGCGTCCAGGGCGCCCTCATCTGGAACATCTCGCCCCTGATGTCCTCCGCCCAGCCCCCGCTGATGTACACCACCTCACTGTGGACGCATCCCTACCAGGATGGTGCCCCCGCTCGCCTGCTGCTCGCTCAGGAGCGCGCCTTCCTGCGCGATCTGCGCACGGCCATCGACAAGCGCATCGAGCACAAGATCGCCAGCGCCCGCCGTTTCGCGGTGAGTACTCGGGCGTATGCGTGATATTTGCAATAACTCATTTTTTAAAGCATTGCTTTATGGATAAACAAGAATATATCAGTGAAGATATTTCCTAGCATGGGTAAACTTATTTCTTCATTTATTATCTGTATACAAGAAGCCTTGATATGGAAAAGCATGTCACATATCATAACCTAGAAACATAATATTATAGCAGTGAATATATTTATTGGTCATCTTTGACTTAAGATGCTAGGAGTGTAAAGTTGAAAACTTGGCAAAATATAATAAGCAAAAAGTTAACCAAGTTAAGCAATCCAACTTTAAAATAAATAAGGCTTTTTTATAATAGATATGAAATACAATAGAGAACTCAGTCTAATCTAACTGATTTTAGATTTGACGTTTATTCACATCCCTCTTTTTTCGAGTTTCCGGCGAGTAAATAAAGGACATTTACAAGCTGGAGTATTATAAAATGTTTTAAAATAGACTTTATATATTATATAATATAATTTCTAAAAACTGGTTAATTGAATAGATATAATATTATTTTAAATGGAAGAGTCTTCGAATCTTAATTTTCTTTATTATTGAAATAAACCCTACATTTTTATCTACAGGTGCGCGTGCGCAACCACGCCAAGATGGTGGACTGCTACCTGAACACGTTCAACAACCACAAGACGCTGTTCGGCAACAAGAAGCGCATCGCTGACGACATTATCGACCATCCGCAGAACTACCACATCTACGAGGGACTCTCCACGCTGACGAACATCTCGCGCTACGATCTTCCGGATCCGGAGGTCTACCGCGACTTCTTCCGCCTGAACCCGCTGTACGAGTTCAAGAAGCTGAGGGACACCTGCACCTATTTCCGCGGATGTCCGATCACCAAACTGGACCTGGCCATTGCCTACGAGCTGCCCGAGTTGGCCGGCAAGTACAAGAAGATGTCCGAGGCGGCCTTGGCCAGCATCGAGGCCCAGCAACGGGATGGTGGGTCCCAGAACCAGGCCGATCCCAAAAAGACGAGTTGAGGTGTTGGCTCCTCCAGAGGAGAAAACCTGCCATTTAGTTTGTTTTAGCGAGAGATAGAGAGAATGTGACATCGGCACCGGTAACCGTCTATAGGGAATTTATATCGACAAGGGAGAAATGTTATAGAACCCCCCAAAATCGGTAGAGAACAACAGCGCAAGACAAAAAACAAGGACATTGTTTTTGAGGAAAGAGAGGGAGAGAGACAGAGCTAACAAGAGGGAGAGAAATAGAGAAAAGGGGAGAGAGAGGGCAAGAGCGATTTGAAATAGCAACGGTTGCTTTAGAGAACTTTTGATTTCAACCGCCTTGCAAGAGATCTTTATTTTCACTTACTTAACATAACTTAACCGAACTGAGAGCTTTATGAGAGGAAAACCAATGTAATATCGAGAGCCAAACACACTATCACACACTGAATACTTTCATATTTAACCGAGTAGAGAGGTCACATAACACACCGAGTCTTTTCTAGGCGAGTAGATCAGCACTTAACCCATAACTGAGAGCAATAACTAATAGACGAACTATCGACGAATTCTAATCCATCACCATAACCCCCTAATACGACCCCTCATCGGCTAGCATCCCGTTATAATTCCCAAGTGCCCAGTTTTTTTCTTTTCTTTCCTTGAATAGTAGTGGACAACAGCGCAGAGTTTTGATTTTGAGATCTGAGATTTGAGTTTAGAGCAAATGGAACTTCGTAAAGTTTTGATTTTTTAGTTTTTTGGTTCCTGTCCCTGACGATTTTTCGTAGTTGATAAGACTTTTTTGATAAAAGCAAACAGTGAAGACGATAATAAAGAATTTAACCTACTTAAATAAATTAAATGAACTTGTTGACGAGCGTGAGCAGCTCAAGCTATAAAATACTATTATCAATTTTACACACTGAAAACCCATGTAAAATGAACTGTGAGAGCGGGTGAAATACACAAATAAATAAAAACAACAGAAAACCCCAAGCAATCAATTGTTTTACTTGCCATTTTTAAAGGGTATAATAATTTCGGCATCCTGGAGCTTAATAAGGAACAAAATAAATAGATCTTCAGCATAAGCAACACATATTCTTTAATTTTTTAAATTTTTATTCAATGAAAATTTAATGAAAATAGCCCAAATTTATCATGATGGCTATTATGCTTTGTAAACGGAATATGGTAGAATAGTGCTCTAAAACTACGAAAGAAAAATGTTTGAAATTAAATTTTGCATATTTAAAACAAATTAATTTTTAGGAAAACGAAATGAGTTATTTTAAACTTTTTCAATATAACATATTTAAACCATAACGGTTTCTATTTTAACATTTGGTATTTCTGTTAGTACAGTATTCTGTAATAGACACAATGTGACCAGAGCAGACCATTTCAAGTAATGTTATAACATATGTTAAAATTACCTAACAAAATTTGACAACACACGCGAATAGAATAGAATTAGTAAACTGGAAAGGAAAAGGAAATAAACCCGGCCGGAATTAGCTGAAAATGCATACGGATCTATCCGCCCACCTGCACACGCCCGCTTGCAACAAGTTGATCGAGGAACTCCAAGCCTGCCACGAAAATGTGAGTTACTATCAGGGATTACATTACCGGAATGGGAATGGTAACTAAACTGGGAACCCTTCTTTCAGAACGCCTTCGCCAAATTTGTGGGCGTGTGCAATTCTATTGACGATAAGGTAGGTCTAAAATAAGGACTTTAAATAAGATTCATAATATTTATTTCATTAAATAGGTGGTAAAGTGTCTAAAAGGCGAACGTATTGCCCGATCGGCCGCAAATCGCGCTAGAGCCCGCGAACGTCAGGCGAAATACAAGGAAAAGCTGCTCCAGGGTGAGAGTAACTAGCAGGATCTTCATCCTACCAACATGTCAATCCTATCAGAGGATCCGCTGGAGCCCTTCTACTTCGAGCACGAGGAACAGGAGATCTGCGGGAAGCTTGTAACGCCCATAACAGATGGTTTCCAAGAGGACTACCCCACCGTTGTGGATCGTTTTTTTACCAGATATTACAACTTTAAGGGAGAGGTTCCCTACCAGGTGCTCTACCACTCCAATCGCATTTGCCTGATTTGTTTGGCTCCCGATCATCCTGCTCTCAATCAGGGCATCTCATCGGTAAACTTCGACATCGGGAACGTAGATCGCAGCCAGAATGTGGTCAAAGGCAAGGGTAAAAAGGGCGGAATGATCCTCCAGGCGGAGTCCACCCTAGCATTGCTTACCACGGAAAGTGGAGAGACCTACAAGGTGCCCAGCTGCATTCGAGGAAAACTAGTGGAGGTCAACACTGCCCTAGTGGAGGAGCCCAAACTCCTGGAGCAACTGCCCGAGGGAGCCGGCTACTTTGCTATTCTCCTGCCCAAAATTGAGAACTGCGATGCCATCAAGGCGAGCCTTTTAACACAGGAGCAGTACATGGAACGTCTTAAGATCAAAAAGGAAGTTCTACCCGATATTGAAGCCAGCGACGATCCTCAGATAGTGAAAATTGAGCTGGCTACGTGATTCTGATCCCAGTTGTCGATTTTCAAATTGTCCATTAAAGCCTATGTATTTGTACATAAAGATTCATATTTAATATCTTCATAAGTGTGAGGGAAACAAAGAAGCACATGATGTACCACAATGTTTAAATATACCTAACAACGCTTATGATTATAATTCATTTTTCGCACACTTTTTGACATTAAAAGAAAAATAATATATTCTTTGTTCTTTATAAAATTTATGGGGATTAGTTACTTTTGTTTAAACTTTACAATTTTGAATGAACTAAGCAAAAACACATTTTTCATATGTACTTAAACTGATTTTTTACGTAATTAATATGAAATGATACTTAAACTTCTTTTTCGGTGTAGTTTGATGCTTTTAAATTAACAGCATATGTTAACAGTGTTTACACATTAACAGAGCTCTGTAACGCTTAGCAGAGCTGCTAAAAGTGGTTGGCAACGCGGAGCAACACGTGTGGACGAAAACAGCTGTTCAAGCCGCATTTTATTGTTATTTGGAAACCGAACAATAGTAATTCCGATTACTAAATCATTAAAATGTCTGCGAATAAGCAAAAGAAACTTAATACGATGGAGGTGGACCCTAACGACGAGGACTCCAGTTCCAGTGAGGATGATGACGACGACGAACCTCATCCAGATGCTTATAGGGGAAACGAGGTAAGCAAAGTCACCAAGAAAGCAGAAGCAAAGATTTTTATAAAGTTAATTCCAAATTAGGAGGTGCAAATCGACTTCGAAGGTCGTTCTCCGGTGGATCCTGATGCCCAGGGAATCTCCCAGCTGCTGCAGCGACTGTTCCTAAGAGCACACATCAATTGCAACCAAATGGCGGACCTTATCATATGTGAGTGTTTTCAATAATTAGTATTATTAATAGGCTTTATAAAAACTACTAGGATATCCATATTTGATATGTTCCCAATGTTAAGAACACCTAAACAAAGTTATTACACTAATTAATTTTTCTAAACCCATAAAACATTCACCTTCCAAAAACATCTCTATCTGAAACTTCCTTTTAAAAACCTTTTTGTATTTCCAGCTCAAAACTATGTGGGCAGTGTGATCTGCCAGTGTGACGACGAGGGTGCCGAAAGCGAAACTGACGACGAAAACATGGTCGAGGATGGCACTGTCTTTGGAATCACCTCCGTGCTGAATCTGACCGCCAAAAAGGATCAGCCCAGCATCGCCCAGTTGAGAACCTATCTACTCGATCGCGCCAAATCGCACGCTTCGGAGCAAGTGCAGCAGCAGCTGAAGGAGCTCCTGGACAGCGAGCAGCGCCATGTAGGTTTCCTGGTCAATGAGCGGTTCATCAACATACCCGCCCAGATCTCCGTGCCACTACTGCAGAGTCTGCAGCAGGAGATCGACGCCGCCAAGGCCAAGAAAATGAAGTTTGACTTTGGCACTCTGCTGCTCCTGGTTAAGTTCTACAGGAAGGAGGCCAAGAAGGGAAAGCCAGCCGAGGACAATTACACCAATGCTGAGGATGAGCTGCTCTCGGATCGGGCCAAGTTCTCCTTCGAGTACTCCGTGGCCTCCGAGACGGACTCGGGCATGTCCGGCGATTGGCTGGAGGGCGATGCAGTTATGACACCCTACAGGAAACTCCTGGTCCTGGAGGCCAAGCAGTTGCCACAACTCATTGACGATATACAGCGTTTCATAAATGGTGAATAAATGTTTTCCTGTTTTAAAAGTTGTCTTTCTAGGAGGGTTATTGCTAACTAAAAAGTTCATTTTGGTAGCAAAATCTTAATAACTTATTAAGTTTGTAAACTTGACTGTGCAGGTTGACCTTTTAGATAAAACAAAATCAAAAGAAAGAGAGAGATAAAACTTAAAAGATAAAATTTGTAAGGATTTTAATGATTGTATTAAAAAACCGAAATTTGAAATGGAAAAAATAAGAAATAGTGTGGCAAACTACAACATCCAGAAGAATCTAATCTATAGATGGAATTTTATTACGATTGCGGTTTCCAACACATTAGGATGATACTTTACCCATATCAAAAATAATGACCACAGGCCGATAACCTTTTTTTTCTAGATACCAAATCGAGGGTATCAAAAATTCGAACCGAAAGCTCTTTAGCCTCTTCACATCGATTGGCAACGCGGGCAAACGACTAACAGCTGTCAGCTGGCCGGCATTTGAAAGCTCTGCACATGCCGGCTGGTCTACCTCTGAAAACCTGGACTCTCCTTTGTTTTTGCGTTTGGTTTGGCCCAGAAACTGCATCCACCTGGGACGTGACTGGCAAAAGGAAACCCACAATTCCCAACCAAGCGACGTGAGTAGACTTTGACTTTGTTGTCGTCGAGTTATATCCGAGTTCTAGTATTACATTGCGATCATACTGCGGATTATTCATAGGTCGTGCATTTTGTTTTTGTCCAAGTGGTTATTGTACAACAATTAAAACTAAAGCCCAGTGCGGTTGTCAAACGTATAAAAAGCTTGACCACCCAGCCAGAACGTTGCAAATCACCATAGAGAGTTATCAGAACCGCTCCTTATCGCCAGCTTTCCGTTCCAGATCCCGCTCCCAAGTTTCCAGTTTCCAGCTGCAGCGCTTTGTGCCCATCTGAGGTTCAGTGACGCCCCACTTGCCGATCGACCAAGTCGCGTGAGCTGCCTATAAAAAGTACTCAACATGGGTATCGAGAAGTGAGTACTACTACCTGTTATTAGAGGGCGTGTTTGGGATTATATGGCCTTAGTTATCTAGCCCACGCTTAGCGGCCGATTGGGAAAGCTCTTCGGGATTCGCCATCTTTTACAGTGAAGGTTAATCATATAGGACACATTCCATTTTACCGTTTCCATAATGTCCAAACAGAAATTAAGACTTGTTCACATAGGACACATTCCATTTTATCGTTCCTTTGACAATTCAAAACCGAAATTAAAAGTTGTTCAACTTTTACTATCTTTCCGTATCTCAATTTTCATATTTTGCTTAATAACTGTGGAGGGGATATCATGAAAATTCCGCACTTTATCTTTGCCAAGGATGATAACATTGTTTGTCGAAGTTGAGTAAAAGTGAAATAGGGAGAACGATTATTGCTAAATAACCTTTATAAATATTTAATACAATTGAATGTTCACGATATGAAATGTTCATTTTTATAAACCTAATTCATTTATTTTTAAATTTTAAACCATAAATATATTTATAATGAAGATAAAGTAGTGTTTCGAAAAAATAGACTGATAAATGGTAGGTAGTCCAGGATTATTTTCAAAAACATAAAATATTACTATTGTTGCTAACACTTGTAACAAATGTAGTATTTTTATAAACCTAATCTATTTCTTTTTAAATCTTAAACCATAAATCAATTTATGTTAAGAAGATAAAGGAGTGTGTAGGAAAAATAGACTGATAAATGGTAGGTAGACCGAGATTATTTTCAAAAATATAAAAGAACATTATTGTTGCTAACACTTCGAGTGGTACACCTTTACTACAATAAGAAATTAGATTATGATTATGGTCATTTTAAAACCTTATCGCCATTCTCTATCTTAAAGTTAAGATAATCTCAGCGCCAGGAATGAGGGTAAAAGGAAGGCTAAGTAAACCAAGTCATGGGCATAGTAATTCTCTATTCAGTGGGGATTTTTATTGTTAAAACTGAATTAATATACAAAAGGAGCTTGTTATGTAATGCGAACTATTGCATCAGTTAATAAAGCCCGTGTGACATGATAAAATTCAATTCAATCAAACGCCATTGCATATATTGTAGACACCCTGAAATGTTTCTTAATGAATATCAATAACGATTCCGTTGCGCCCCTCCAGAATTCTACCATGCACCCTCCGGCTGAACAAGCTGATGAGCTTGGCGGGTAGCGACTGCCTGTGCATCATCGACCGCGAGGCAGTTCCCAACGAGCTGAAGGCCATCTTCGATGAGCACCGCAGCTACGACAAGTCCTTCGACAGCAGTGTGTCCTGCTTCAAGGCTCCCAATGTGGACCAACCGGTGGTCTATGCCCCCGTCTCCGAACTCACCGACTACGACGATGTGAGGAGCTATCAGGCGGCGGCCAAGAAGTCCATGGAGAAGGTGCTCAAGGTTGGTATATCTCTTTTCCGTTTCTATAGTTTCAGTATTCAAGAAATTAAAAAAAAATTATCGCTTTTTTTGGGAATAATGTATAAACCACTATCGTTAAATAACAATTTTTGGGTCTTCAATTATAAAGACTATTCTGTGGTTTTTTGATAGTGCTAAAACCACAACTGGAGATTTTATAATAGAACAAATTGTATTTTTACTAAAATGTTTTGGCAATCGCTGTGATTTGATATTGTTAAAGCCACTATTGGTGAACTTAATCTTAGTTTTCAAGTAGATTTTTTAAAAACAAACTATAAAACTATAGTTCAAATAATTGGATCCTTACTAAAATGTATAAAGAATATCTGGTATACTTTACTTTTCAACATAACAAATTCTGAAATTCAGGATCTGATAATTATGCAAAAATATTTAATAAATATTTTTTCTTCAGGCTGGCTTCCGCACACCTTTGCTGTTTGTGCCCAAAGTTCAGCGTTTCCCCGAGGTCGAGCTCTGCACCGTTCTCGGAGCCCTGGAACAGCTTTATGTGGTAAGTATGGATATGTTTTTATTTAATAAATTAAATAGCTATTAGGTCATTATACAAATCCCATTTAAACACATTTATCTTTCAGCCCATTCAACTGCGTGAGGCAGGAACCTCCAAAGACAACCGCGTAACTACGCTCAGTGTCCAGATCGACGATCCGAGGGCGGAGTCCATTTTCCAGGAAGCTCTCATTTTGGAGGCTGGTCGGTTTGTGGCCCGTGACATCGGAGTTGGGGATCCAGAGCGCATGACCCCCATCCAGGTGGAGAAGTACATCAAGCCTCTGTTCGACAAACTGAACGTGAATGTGATTAGTGACTCGAAGGTCCTGGAGAAGGAGTATCCGCTGTTTGCGGCTGTGAACCGGGCTGCAGATGCCGTAGAGCGTCACCGCGGTCGCATCATTTTCCTGGAGTACAAGCCCCCGAAGCCGGCGAGGAAGACGCTAATGCTGGTCGGCAAGGGAGTGACCTATGACACCGGTGGCGCTGACATCAAGGCCGGAGG